TATCTTTGCATTATAATAACAATTATCATCATTTTTTTCTTACAATGCAATACGAACGCAATGATATCAAATAAAATTGAAAGGACCGACCATTTTTAAAGAAAAATGAGACAGTTTCTCCTCTGTCCTTCTTCATACGAATTGACATTTTGGAACGAACACCCAATTTCTTTAGTAGACAGACAGACAGACAGACGTGTGATTCAATAGTATTGTAGATTTTATTTAACCAAATATATATTAACTTTCAAAGTTCAATATTGATGTCTTCTTAAACACTTTTTGTTGCCAGTTTTGTTACAAGTTCTATGTTTTAGGAGAAAAACCATCCACCATTAAAAATGAGCTTAAACAACTCTTTTTTATGGTATAGACGAATAATCTGATGGTAAGCAATCAGCGCCACCCATGGACACCGGTAACATAACCCGAGTTACGAGTGCGTTGCTGCCGGCCTTTTAGGGATAAGGGTTTCGGATATTTAATGATTAGGAAAATATGGGGTAGGCGGTGGGATTGTGCCTCCGGTAACCTCACTCACACGGCGAAACACAAAGCTCTGGTCGTTTCACGCCGGTTTTCAGTGAGGTCGTGGTATCACTCCAGTCGAGCCGACCCATTCGTGCCCAAGCTTGGCTCTCTCACACTTAATAAAGTATCACTCACATTATAAGTGTCAATATTTTTCAACGGTTGATATGTTGTCCGCTCTGACGTATCAAATATGGTGGATCGACGTCATGACGTCACATGTCAGTGACGTCACACGTCGCTGATGTTATGACACTTGACGGTGGCGGCAGCTCGATACTGACACTCAGCAAATAGAATGCCAATCAACAATGACTGACAGCTTATCAGTATATCAGTGGATCGATGGGAAATGTGTTTTCTGTTAAGTGTTAATAACGAAAAAGTTTTGTAATGAAAACAATTTTATTTTGTCTAGTGACTGAATCGTACAAAGTAGTGAAAATCGTATTAAATATCGTGAAGAAACCTTTTTTCTTATGGTATAAGTCGGCAAACGAGCAGACGGATTACCTGATGGTAAGCAATCGGCGGCGCCCATGGACACTCGCAACGCCAAAGGAGTTACGAGTGCGTTGCCGGCCTTGTGGGGATAGGGGTTGCGGATATAAGGATTGGGAAGGGATAGGGGAAGGGGACGGATTGGGCCTCAGGTAACCTCACTCACACGGCGAAATACAACTCTGTGGATTGTTTCACGCCGGTATTCTGTGAGGCTGTGGTATCACTCCGGTCGAGCCAACCCATTCGTGCCGAAGCTTGGCTCTCCCACACTTCCCACCTGTACTTATAGTTTCTAATTATACTTTTGAAATCGCCAATCCGTATTGAGGAAGCGTGGTGATTAATACTGAAAACTTCTCCGTGTGAGACTCAGCAGTCAGCACTTATAAGCTTGATGATGTGGCAGAGTAGTTAAGGTACTTTGATTTGCATTTTTTCAATATAACATTGTAGGACAGGGTCTGGGTAATTATCTACACTACATCTAGAAGTTTTTTCTTCAACATAGGCGGCGGCGTAGCAGAGTTAGCTATTTATCACTACAAAGTATTTTTTTTTTATTGGTTATAGGTTCGCGCTTCACCGCTTTCCTACTTGATGAAAAGCGACGATGCGGTCGACGATGGAGCGCGCTTACCTAGAAGTAACCTTTTCACTCTTGACTTAAAGATACCCAGATTGTAACTATCAGGAAACACCGACTCCGGCAAGGAATTCCACTCCTTGGCTGTACGCATAATGAATGTTCTCCCAAAACGTTTTGTACGTATATGTGGGACATCCACCATGTACCGGTGGCGCAATGCCGTACGTCTGGTGGTCCGATGATGGAACGGGCTAGGCGGAATTAAGTTATGTAATTCCAACGCAAATTCCCCGAAATGCAACCGGTAGAAAACCGACAGGCTAGCAACTCGGCTTCGGTGCTCAAGACTTTGAAGTCTCGACTCGACAAGTGCATCATCGCCAATGTATAAAAGTAAGTCGCTTTCTCTCAAAGTCAAAGTCAAAGTCAAAATCATTTATTCCAATTAAACCATAAATAGGTACTTTTGAAACGTCAAAATAGAAAAGTAGTCTGTCAGTCTGTTCGTCAGTGAAGCTAGGTGCTCATTCCAAATTGTAGATTCGAATGGAGAAGAACGAGCAAGAAACTCCATTCGTTACTCTTTTTTTTTTTAATTGTTTTACAATTTCAATAATATAAAATTTATAGTATACATTAGTGTACCCTTATGTGAGAACAATGCAGAGACAAGTTGTTAAAAAAAAGAACAAATGAGGGGACCTATCATAAAATTTTACTCCTTTGTCGTCTCGAACATGGCGCTCACATATGCGTACTCACAATCTTTAAGAGTGCTTCTATATAAACTTTTTGGATATATAAATTAAGGATGCATTATTTTTGAGAATTTTACCTAACTGCTGACTATATTTGAGTATTGTCCAGTGGAGCCGAATCAACATGCTGCCAGGCATTCTTATCCTCAATATAATCTGAAAGTTTGTAGTATGCCTGTCTACACAATTCACGTTTAATATAAGTTTTAAATTTTCGTTCGTTAAGATTCAATACAGTACTTGGAATTTTATTGTAACAATTTACACAGAACCCCATAAAGGATTTCTGTACCTTGGACAGACGGAATCGTGGCACAGCCAGCCTATCTTTGCCTCTTGTATTAAAATTATGTCTATCGCTTCTTTTTTCAAATAATTGAAAATTTTTCCTTACATACATAATATTTTCATATATAAACTGACAAGGCATCGTCAGGATATTTATCGTTTTAAATAGTTCTCTCAGAGATTCGCGACGGGGCAAGTTATATATCGCTCGGATAGCCCGCTTTTGTAGAATAAATATTGATTCTACTTCCGCAGCTCGACCCCACAGCAAAATTCCGTATGACATAATGCTGTGAAAATAGCTAAAATAGACAAGCCTTGCTGTGTTCACGTCTGTGAGCTGTCTTATCTGTCTAACTGCAAAAACAGCAGAGCTTAGTCTCCCCGAAAGCGTCTTTATGTGGGAACCCCATTGAAGTCTTTTGTCTAGTGTGATACCTAGAAACACTGTCTCTTTGACAAATTCTAACTTTTGCCCATTTAAAATTATGCTACAATCATTACTGTGTACGTTGGGCAAGCTAAATTTAATACATTTTGTTTTTTTCTCGTTAAGTGCTAAATTATTGACTGTAAACCAATTATGAACTTGATGAATGGAGCTGTTTACTTCGTCAAAATTATTAGAACGTCGACCTATTTTAAAAATTAATGATGTATCATCAGCAAACAGCACCATACTTGGCTCAGCTTTAAATAAAAATGGCAAGTCATTAACATACACTAAAAAGAGAAACGGACCCAATATTGAACCCTGTGGAACGCCCATTCTTATCTCAGAGCCCTGTGAGTTATAACCACCCACATGAACTCTCAGCTGCCTATCTTCTAAATATGATTTTAGTAGACGGAGTGCAGTATGTCTAATCCCGTAATGATCTAATTTCAGCAAGAGTGTTTCATGATCAACGCAATCGAACGCTTTTGAGAGGTCGCAAAAGACACCAACAGCATCCTGTGCTTCCTCCCAAGCACCGAGTACTTCCTTTATCAGCGTGACACCGGCGTCAGTTGTACAACGACCTTTAGTGAAACCGTATTGTTGGTGATGGAAGATGGCATGTTTATCAAAGTGATGAAGCATCCGAGATAGCATTAACTTTTCGAACACTTTGCTAAGAACCGGCAGAACAGACACAGGCCTATAGTTGTTTGGTTCCTTAGTGTCACCATTTTTGAATAATGGAATAACTTTACTGTATTTCATTAGGTTTGGGAAGACACCGTCATCTATACTTTTATTGAAAATCAAAACCAGATACGGCGCTAAAGTTCGGATAAGTGATCCGCAGACTTTCACGGATAGTCCCCAAAGGTCCTCAGTTGATTTGACCTTGATTTCTTTAAAAACCTTTATTATCTCTAAAGGATTAGTATAATGAAAACTAAAGTCGCATTCGCATGATTTAACATTTTCTCTAAGCAAAGTTGCCGATAGTCTGGCCGATGATTTTAAATGAGCCGTTGTTTTGACAGGTATATTAGCAAAAAAAGTCTCAAACTCCTGAGCTACATCTGTGCTTGACGAAATCTGTCCCCTCTCTGTGTTTAAACAAAAAGCCGAATGTTTTAATTTATTCCTACCTGTCTCATTCTGTATTATTTTCCACGTAGCCTTTATCTTATCTTCAGCTGATTTTATTTTATTACTGATGAAAAGACGCTTTGCGGTTTTGCATACTATTCTAAATGTCTTTGAGTACAATTTTACATGTTGATGAAAAAGAGGGTCGCAATTGTATGGTTTCATGCCATAAAGTTCAAAAAGTTTATCTCTACTCTTACGAATACCTGCGGTAGCCCAATCGCTAAACTGAAACTTAGCATAGACGTCTTTATATCCTTATGTATGCTTAAAAGGGATTTTTGCCAGATGGAGTGATTGAAGTGGAATGTTTATATGTATAGTAACATCCGTAAAATATTTAAGAAATTTAGTATCGGCATTGCACTCGAACGAAGCCGGGGCGGATCGTTAGTGTATTATAATTTCTATCTACATATAAGTTTGAAATCGCCAACTGCCTTCAAAACGACTAATTATGCTTACACCTTTTTCGTATCAGAAGACGACTTTGCTCAACATAATGGACATTTATAGACTGAATATGAAAATAATGACCTGGCCCTGTGGTCATGAATGGAAAGAACATACAAAATGATGATTACGTTATGAGATAATTTTCATCTATAAATTATTCAATTTTTAAAGTTTCTAAGATCGAGAAGAAGTTACGATGTTTGGATGTTTGTTACTCAATCACGCCAAAACAGCTGGACGGATCTGGACGAAATTTGGCACAGGCATAGAATACACTCCGGAATAGGACACGATGACTGCACGGTTGGTGCGGTGGCTGGGCAACTGGCTGCCGTGCAACGTGTTGCGGGTTCGATTCCCGCACGGAACAACTCTTTGTGTGATCTACAAATTCTTGTTCCGGGTCTGGGTGTGTAACCGCAACCACGTCACAGGAGAAAATCCTAATGTTACTTATTTAAGAAAAGAAAGGACATAAGCTTCTTTTTATCAACATACTATGCGGGCGGTGCCTCGGGCGCAAGCTAGTATAAAATAATGGCAAGTTTCACGAGGCAAGACAACTTGACTAGCAATCAATAATATAATTAAGGCGAGCAGGTGCGTTAGGCAGGTTACACACCGCCCTATGTTTGTCAGGACTGTGACGACACGACACACGCGTCCTGTGTGTAAACAGCTTAACGTCATTATCGGGTGCTGTACTATAGCGTTTATTTATCACCCTGTAAGCGTTAGTAGTCACTTTTTAGGTCAGGTGCACAAAAATGTGAACCTTCTTTCAAATAGTATAAATACGAAATTTGGTTGGTTGTCTTTCTTTGACGTCGATATAGAGCATTTTTTCGCTCTATGATGGCGTTGCCTCAAACTAGGGGTTTCTCCGGTGTCGTGGGTTGCCACTCAGACACCAAAAAAATAACTAACTAAATAACACGAAAACAACAGTTTGTGGATCACACAAAGTGTTAATCCGTGAGGGGAATAGAACTCCCGACACTTTGCACAGCAACCAGTTGCCCAGCCACTGGGCCAACCGTGCAGTCTAGTGATTTGTGTGACTGGAGAGACGCTGAAGAGCATCTTCCCTTATAAATTAAAGAGAAAGGCTGAGACCGATAAAGCCTGCTAGGCGGGGAAAGCCGTGATTTACAATATTTTTTTTTTTTTATGGAATTGGTGGCAAACGAGCAGACGGATCACCTGATGACATCCGCAACACCAGAGGAGTCACAGGTGCGTTGCCGGCCTTTTAAGAAGGAATATGCTCGTTTCTTGAAGGTTTGAAGGTCGTATCGAGAAGCTGGTACTGGGGTGCCCCCGCCCAAAGATGAGAACAGTATTCCATATGGGGCCGAACTTGCGCCTTGTAAAGTAGCAGGCGATGCTCCGGGGTGAAATAATGCCTCGATCTATTGAGCACACCAAGCTTCTTCGAGGCTAACTTGGCCTTACCCTCTAGATGACCGCGAAACTGGACTTCGCTCGATATGTCGACGCCAAGTATCCCAATACCGGCCGAAGCTGTGAGGGGGGTGCTCTGAAATTGAGGGGATACGACCAACGGCAATTTTTTAGCTGTGCACACGCAGACCCGTGTCTTTGCGGGGTTAAATTGGACCAAGTTAAGTCTACCCCAATCTGAGATTCTCTCTAAAGAAGTCTCGATTTCAGACACAAGCCTGTTTCGACTCTCGATGACATTTTCCCGAGAAATGTTATTACGGCCGGCGTAAAAGTCATCACCCGTGCTGTCATCCGCATAACAATGAATGCCACTAATTTGCAACATATCATTGATATGGAGGAGGAAAAACGCCATAAAGACTCACAGAAAACAGGCTATTGATCAGTTATGAAATCATTTATTTGAGTAAGATAATAACAAGATACCTACATTCGATCCTTAAACAAAGAATCAAAGATAAAAACTGTGTGTCTCACATGACTATTTGATAAGAAATACCCGTGAGGCCGTGGTGTCGCTCTGGTCGAGCCGACCCACCTAATCATGATTCTCGCACACGTATTTTTTTTTTATTTTTTATTTAATAGGTCGGCAAACGAGTAGACGTATTACCTGATGGTAAGCAATCAGCGCCGCCCATGGACATCTGCAACGGAGGAGTTACAAGTGCGTTGCCGACCATTTTGGGATTTGGAGATTTAGAGATTGAGGAGGGATTGGGGGAGGGGAAGGATTGGGTCTTCGGTAACCTCACTCACACGGTGAAACACAACGCTGTGGTTGCTTCACGCCGGTTTTCTGTGAGGCCGCGTTATCACTCCGGTCGAGTCGACCCATTCGTGCCGAAGTATGGCTCTCTCCCACACTTAATATAATAATTATATAATACGTGTAACAATTATATCTAAAACACGTATTTGAATATTATGATAATAATATAAGATTATTTTTATATCATTCTAAAACAATGGCTGTTGTGATTTTCAGCTGAATTCTTTCAGGAATCGTTTCAGTAATACAGTCAATGTGAGTGTATCTTCTAGTTATCTGAACAAATAAACATTTCAATTGTTTGACCCTTTTCAGGAGATTTTACAGCGAACTGAAAACTCTGTACCTCAGACTTGGTAAAGATATTGTTTCAGGATGAGGGAAAAGTATGTACTGTGGTAGTTGACCGGGACTGCGCTTGCTGCCATAGGTTTTATTCCCAAGTCATGTTTAAAACTTGAGCTTGACAATCAATGGCTCGTCAATCAGATAATTTATAACATAACTAGCTTTTGAACGCGACTTCGTTCGCGTGGAAAAATGACTTTCTGCAGATTTTTGGAATAAAAACTATCCTTTGTCCTTTCTCAAGTTCCAAACTAGTTCTGTACCAAATATCACAGGAATCGGGTCAGTAGTTTAGTCGTGAACGTGGAGAAAAGACAGACAGACAGAGTTACTTTCGCATATTTAATATTAGTTTGAAAAACGCAATGGAATTGAAAGCCAATGACAAATCCTACAGACTGATAGACCGACAGACCCGGATACGCTGATACTAAAGCACTGGCGACACATTATGGGGGTGTCCATATGCGTGCAACAGTACAACAGTGGAGACATAGGGACATTGACAGCTTTTTGGCAATTACCGATTTTAAGTTAAGGTCTCATAGCCAATAGACCACCACAGACTGGGCCCTATAGAGCTGATGTTCAGCCGGAGTTGCGGGGTAAGCGTAATGAGGCACCGTGGCCTCGGCCTAGGGCAGTAGAAGGAACGGGGCGGTTTTAAGTCAATAAGAGTCTGACACGCCCGTTCGCTTCACCCTGGGCGGTAGAAGTCATTTGATGATGTTCTTCTCACAAAAATGACCTCATCCAGTAACATCAATCATTCAGGTTGTTTCTCCCCGATTTCTGTAAGTCTAGTTAGGCCTGCTCATTAAGGCAGAAATATGGCTCTCTCAACCTTAGCACGACTTACCGACAGATAGAATTGAAGCAAAACTAACAATGCATTTTTCTTTCTTTTTATGTGATAGGACGGCAAACGGTCAGACGGATTACCTGATGGTAAGCAATCGGCGTCGCCCATGGACACCCGCAACAAAGAAGGAGATACGAGTGCGTTGCTGACCTTTTAAGGATTGGTATTTTGGGATTGGGGTAGGGGAAGGATTGGGCCTCCGGTAACCTCACTCACACGCATTTCTCAATTTGGTATTATTACTTGAGAACTTCAGAATACAAAATAATCCACTATCAGTTTACGCAACCCGATATTGAAAGCAGAAAGTTCCTTCGAAAAGTTACACCAATCACGAGAAATTCTTCAAGTAAATGTGTTTAAAAAGAAAAATATGTAATTCAAAGGTAAAGTAAGTAAGGTTAGTGCTTAATATCAAATGTTTCTTTTATGGAAAATAAGTGGAGTCGAATGCTTGCGCCTCGCACGGGCAGTCGTTAAAACAGTCCACGGAGCGTGAACGAATGCGCGCCTACACTGTCTCACGACATACGACCCAAATTATTTTTGCGACTAATTTAAAAAAAAATTTTGTGCCGCGAACTTCGCTGACGAAATGACTGACAGATTATTATTCTATTTTGAAGTTTCAAAAGTACCTGTTGATGGTTCAATAGGAATGATTTTGACTTTGAAAAAAAATTAACTTCCCCTAACTTCACTGAAGAACAGACTGTCAGACTTTGCCTTATACCTGACGTTTCAAAAGTACCTATTGGTTGTTTAGTTGGAATAAATGATTAAATTTTGACTTAGAAACTGTCGGCTGCCGTGCCGTGCCATGTCGCAGGTTCGATTTTAGCACGGAGGATTTTTTTAATGAGAACCATAAATTGTTGTTCCAGGTCTAGATGTAAGATGAAATTGTATATTTATTAACGCACCCAAGACACGAATCTATGCACAACCAAAATTATCAATGACTTTCAGAAAATGCTTCTAGCATTAAGGTCTCCTTCGATGTGCAATTGTTTATAAAGAATAAATTAATTAATAAATAAACTCACAGTATAAAGCAACGTCTTAGAAAAAAAAACAATAATGTCCTGCTTAACATTTAGGTGTACAATGAAAACAAACGCAGCGAAGTGTTTAGTTCAAGGGTCGTGAATGTTATCCAGAGAAATATCGTTGGGGTCTAACGCATGCCTTGAAGATAAAACAGTACAAAGAGGGAACAAATGTAAATAAACTCTAATAAATAGTTTCAACCCCAATTACATGCAGGTTTTATTACAAGAAGGTTGTAATTCCATTCTGAATTCAACTGGTTGAAAGAATGATCAAGGGGTTTTCTGGCTCGTTCTTATCTATATAGCTATCAAAGGGAGCAAAGGGATAACTTAGTCACCAATAAATTATAGTCACAATCGACATAAGTTTCTCAGAATCGGTTGGCTCGGTGGCTGGGCAACTGGCTGCCGCGCAACTTGTCGCGGGTTCGATTCCCGCACGGAACAAGTCTTTGTGTGATCCACAAATTGTTGTTCCGGGTCTGGGTGTCGAGGTGTTTGTGAAATTGTATGTTAGTAAACGCACCCACGACACAGGAGAAAATCCTAGTGTGTGGCAACGTTTTATTAAAGAAAAAAACTCACTCAATGGATTCAATTTGTAATTTATTAGTATTTTGCGATGCATCGGGTAAGGTTAGCGAAGTTTCAAACCTTCAACCCCTCCCCATCTCCTTAATTCCCCAGTCCTCAAATCTGCAACCTCCTATAACGCCGGCAACGCATTTTAAAGTACTCTGAGTGTCCATGAATAGCCGATTGCTTAATATCAGGATAAGTCAAAAAATGAGCTGATTGTGATTTGTTTAATCTTTAAAAAAAATGAGCCTTTCACCACCAACACCCGAGACTTATAAACCAATACACTGCCAGCCCTTGCATGAACAAAGACAGCATCACAATTATTAGTCCCAGTAATGACGAACAGAATACAATTCTCTCTTCGCGTGGAGAATAAGCTGCAGCTTCAACAATTTTATTTTAATGCTACAATATCATATTTGCTGGACGCCCTGGACGGTCTACTCATTAGAGACCGGTCGTGCATTCCCACACCACATGACACAAGAACAGGAAGAAATAGAAGGTCCACTTCAAACCGCCATCTTTTTTTATGTAAACGGTCGGCAAACGAGCAGACGGATTACCTGATGGTAAGCAATCAGCGCCGCCCAACAATAGAGGAGCTATGAGTGCGTTGCTGACCTTTTGGGAATTAGGGAGGGATTGGAGACGAAGGATAGGCGTGATGGGTAACCTCAATCACGCGACAAACTACAACACTGTGGTTGTTTTGAGCTGTTTTTTTGTGCCGTGGTATCACGGCGGTATCTGTCGAACTTAGCCATTCGTGCTGACGCATGGCTCTAACATAATTGAATTGGCCGTCACTATTAGTTTTGTCATTCAGTTTCCAATTTTATTTTTTACATAGGGTATACTTACAGGCTTTATTAAACTGGAATAATACTAAAAGTGTTTGTATTATTTGGTGTATAAGTGAGCTCCCGGAGCTCAATCTTTCTCCTTACTGTAACATCCCCATTCCCTAATCCTCAAAACCTTGTGACTCCTCTGGTATTGCGTGAATCCGTGGACGGCGTGATCTCTTAGGGACCAACGATAAAAAATGACCTGCACTGCAATCTGCGCTTGCCTATTAGTAAATAAAACCTACAGTTAACAATATCAACCAAAAATCATTGAACTTCTGTTTATTCTATTTGATACTGTATTAAAACAGACTAGCGCTCGAACAAAAATATAACGTAATTATATAACATTATAGTTTAGAATTCATCAAAGAGATGCAGCGCAGAGATGGCGGACGGCGGCATGCAGTGTTTTTAATCAAATCAAATCAGCGTAGCGGCGTAGCGGATCCGCGTAGCCGTGCTACGCTGCTACGTTACTACGGTAAAAATCAAAAAATAGTTTTTCATTATAATTATGCGAAATACTTTGGCTTGTTTATTATATTTTGTGAATAATATAAAGGTATTTCTTTGGGTAAAATATTTTTGCATGTGTTAAATAAAGTTCTTCTTCTCTCTTCCTTTTAAGGTCAGCAACCTTTTCTGATACTCGTATTGCTTATGTTCATGGCTGATTGCTTACAGTTCAAGAGCGTAGATGACGTTAACCTTTAAACGAATTCACACTAGGCGCTCTTTTGATACGTTTGTCTCTTCACTAATCTGTTCTTATTTGTCTATAACTCTTTATTCCTATTATAATATTACATTACAAGTTTGTTTTATGTTACGCTGATTAACTTAAACATTAATATACAACTACTTTCGAATACATGTAAAAAGAGCACCATCGGAGGTCATTAAGAGTCCGACACTCCCCTCACCCTGGACGAGATCATTCTATGATTTTCCTCTCACAAAAGAAAAGGTAAAAAGACATTTAATGCACATAATCTGAAACGGTCATCCCACGAATCGAAAAAACATATTTGTACTGGAAAAAATAATGTAACATAAAATATTGAAAACTCAGTAACGTAGTGTTATAAATAATATTATAATAGTTTGCGTTTATTGCGAAAATATTATATTACACAAACGTCATGAGTCGCTTGCAGCGAGTTTTCGTGTAGAAGTGTTAAAACTTACAATAAATAAAGTAATAAAGTTTTGTATATACTTATGTGCGATTTGAACAGCGTTGTACTGTCGCCGTTGAGCGCGTTCACGCCACCAAAATGTTTAGTGTAGTTTTCACAATTCTTACCGTCAGCGTTTTGTGCCACGCCGAGATCCGTAACTGTAAGTATTACTTGTAGGATTGTGTCACTCATTTTCAATAATATCAGCTCAAAAGCGTACTCTACTGACTGACCTTTGTCTTATGGATGAGTGTTAATCCAAATCTCTATCAGGGTCAGCATTTAAGTCTCCAGAAACATAGAAAACACAGCATAAACCTACTTTGTGAAACATTCTTGTTCGTTCCCGTTTTTTATTATCATTGCGGTTCCAAAGAATTGCCAAGCTTAGTAATATTGGTACATCAGACATTTGTACCGTATTTCTCTCTGTAACTTTATTCTTAAATGTGGGAGAGCTATCACTTCGGCATGAATGGGCCAGCTCAACTAGAGTGTTAGCATGACCTCACGAAAACCTGGCGTCAAAGAATGCTTCCGTAATATTAAGTCCTGATTGTTACTGCTTCTGAGTAATAGACCACCATTCTCGCATTAACCACAAACAAAAATTCTGCTAAAGAATATTTTGCTATACCTAAATTATGAAGAGCCAAGCTTTGGCTCGACCAGCATGAGACAACCACAGCATTATGTTTTATTTGCTAAATGAGTGTTGTAGCCGGAGTCCCAATCCTTTCCATCCCCCATCTCTTCCCAGTCTCTGAATCTCAGAAACTCCAAAAGACCAGCAACAGACTCGTAATTCGTTTAGTGTTGTGGGGTTTCATGAGCGGCGCTGATTACTAACCGTCAGGTAATGCGTCTCGTTTGAATATTACATAGCGCGAACAGTAAAGCCTAAGAAAATTATATTACAGCATCATCGCCGTCGAAGCTGTTCCCGAAGCCGGTGGTGTCTCGACGCATGTCTTCCGACATGGTGGAAAACTTGAGACGGCAGCTGATGCGGGACAACTACGATTATCAGAATGTAAACTCCAACGAACGCGGGCATCAAAATTCAAGTGTACGTATCAACATGGCTTGTGGAGTCTCAAATAATAGCACTCTCCACAGAATACTCATCTCAATATAAGTATAATCTACTAGCCTCCAGCTTCTCTCAGAACTATAAGTATTGTACCACGCAACATTTGTGTATTTGCTTGGAACTAAATATTGAAGCAGATATCTTTAACTGACTGAGCTGAAATTGTGTATGCACGTTTAGTTTTCATTACCATAAATTTGTCTGTCTAATGCTTTTAACCCACTCTAAATCTCCAAAACCATCTGTTTGAGTGCTTAGTGCCAGAAGCTATAAAACCTTGGTTTTAAATAGTATTTTTGAAATTATTATCACATTATTTACGTGACACAAAAGGGCACAAGTCCGTTAAAATAACAGTTTTACCCCATTTACTACAAATATATGTTTACAGAAGTTTTATTCGTAAATGTTGGAACCGATAGCTTACTCCCGTATACCTAGAATAATGGAGCACGTGCAGGCAAGCAGCGAAGACCAGCGTATGCAGAGCGAGTTCTACGAGCCTGATCAGCCCGAGCAGCGTGAGCAGCCCGAGCCACCTGAGCAGCCTGTGCAGCCTGACCAGTCGGAGCAACTTGAGCGCCTCGAGGAGCCCCCCCAATTCGAACAGCCCGAGGAACTCAAGCAGCCCCAGGAGCTCGAGCCGCTGCCGCAGCTTGGACCACCACCACAACATGAGACACCTGAGCAACGCCCGCGGAACCAACAACAAAATCAGCAGCAAGGCCACCGCTCCCGCTTCGAGCAGCGGAAGCGAAACGATAGACCACAGCAGACGCGGGCCACTGACTGGCCTCACTATCTGGAGCCCGCAGCCGGAGTGCCACCTACTGACGAGCTCGACATTCGTGACTACTTACCAGACCAAGCCAGCGACCCGCCTGCTCCATATGACGCTATGAAAGTAAATCAAATGCAAGTCGCGCCCGTTGGCCAAAGAAACAGGAACCAAAACCATAGAGTGGAACAACATGGTAGCTATGAGAGAAAAGAGAGCCCGACGCCACGCGAAGATCAAGATGAAATGATTAACACACCACCTGAAAACGAGCCGGGTGGAAACCCAGAAGAAGCAGATCAGCCTGAGCAGAAGAACGAACGCGAAGTGCAGGCTGACCTCAACCACCAGGACGACGCTGAGCCGAAAGAGCACTCCGACCCGCAAGACAATTTAGATCAACAGAACGACCAAGCTTCCGACTTTTCGGATGCCAAGCACCAAGATCAAGCTATCTTCGATGAAATCCCAGGACACAGTAACAACCAACCTCAGCATGCAGGTCGGACACCAGGTCCGCCACAGCAGCAGAAGCGAGACTATCAAATCTCCAAAAAAGATTTATTGTACTACATGGACGACACCAAGTTGAGACGAAACAATATTGCGTCAGATGATCAATCGTCAACCGACGACGAATCAGACCAGAAGAAGAATAATCATTCTCTAGACAAGAATGGTCATGTCAAGGTCAGCCGGGTTACTTCAAATCGTGTGACCTCTGGTCGCATGGCCCCTAGTCGAACAGGTCCTAAACGAACTAATTTCAGTCGTGTTTACACGAAGAGGACGAAGGTGAAATCGGCGCGACGCGGCTTCAACACGAAGAGTACCACGACGCTGCGGCCCCGAGAGAAGCCAACGAAGCGCACCTTCGTCGTCACCGTTTCAGGAGCCAACGTCACGTACAAGCTGCTTACGGTTAGTATGTCACAGTACGGGTGCTTACAAAAAAATTCTGTCAAATTTTTTGTGAAAGAATGATGATGAAGAATTTTTCGTTAATCATTCACGCAAAAGCAACAGCGTGGTCGGGATGAAATAGCAGCACCAGTTTGCCTTTGTGTGTCAATTCAGACAGTGTTCGAGACTTTTTGTCCGAAACGCCACTAACTATAAGTAGTTATAACAAGTATAGGGGAATGTAGACCTATCTCACATATCCAATACATTTTATGGGCAGATTTCGTTTTTACTTATCAATCTCTTTTGTATGGCTGTGACTTATACGATGTTAAACTTTTCTTCCAAATGCGGTAAGTATAACATGGAGGTGGTTGCAGATGAAGACCCACGACCGACGACGCAGTGGGCCGCGGCGGTTTCTAGAGGAACGGGCGCCTGACAGCGTGGCGCTGATCAGCCTCGACAAGGCCCCGCTGCCCGCCTTCCGGCTGCCGCGCACGCGCCGTCAGTACATGCACGAGATACACGAACACCGCGACCCGCTCGACGACATGATACCGCACCACCGCAGACACGACAAGTAGCCTCCTTTAATAAACCGTTACGTTCAAACCTACGACTTTCATTCCAATCTCTCTGCGTTACAAACGCTATAAGCCTCAGTGTTCTGTATAGTTTTGTTTACCAGCCTTCCAAGAAAGCTGACAGTTAGCCCGACCACCCAGTACACACGGCAACAACATACTATTTTTACATATTCTAGCATTGCACAAGTGACGCCAAATACCGATTTAGTCGCAGTTTATTGTATATTTTATTGTGGGCCATAAAATTTTCTATCGAACGACTTTATTTTATGTAGAGGGCCATGAATTATAGTGAACCGCTCTGCACGAGGGACACAGAGTGCTGAGCGATGCAGAGGTCACTGGTGGCACTGATCGCTCTGTATCACGCGAGCATACTCGGCCAGTGGCACGCTACTGCCACCGTGCAGCACACCAACGCCGGTGAGTGAAAACCTTAGTTCCTGTCGGCTGGAGACAGCTACAGACCGCCACTCACAGCTCCTTATCTTTCTTACAGCTACAACTGACAGAGGAAGCCCAAAAAACTCCAACAAAACTATAGACTTTGTAAACGTAATCAAAGAGGGTCTAAGGCGAAATAACGATGACTACGAGATTTTCAAACATAACATGTTTCTGGGGAAGCCCACTAATGGACCACCCGAGGTTGTGCGCCAGACTGCGGAAGTACCGCAATTACCTAACCGCATCCCGGTCAACTGGGTGCCGCCTCCAGGCCACGCGGAGATGCGACGACCTGGCCCTCCTGCGCACGGTGCTGGCACGACACCTCGAGTCGTAGTTCGACCGGAGCATCAACCATTACGGCGCTCTGGTAGTGCCAGAGCGCGACCCACACCCCTCATACGGCAGCCAGTGCGCGGCCAGCCTTACCGCGTGCAACAAAAGCCCCTGCCCCTGCGCCCCATGAATGCCAGTCGAGGTATCAACACGACATTGAACAACAACACAGCTCACTCCGACAAAAAGACTCCTAACGTCACTCAGTTCAGAAGTTATACACACTCCAAGCATTACAAAAAAGTTCGTGTCGATAAACTAAAACGACTGGTGGATAAAGAAAAGATGCGGATGCGAATACAGAGCGACCGAGCCGGTCCTGAACCTCCACAGAAAGTGGGGGATCAGCCAACAGAGAAAGCGAAAGGTGGTGAGGTGGGGGTTGTGACGCACGCTACTGGCGGCCAGACCGAGAGCACGGACACATCAGCAACGACTCCGAGTGCCAGCGAGATGGCACAGAGCACGACGCCGTCGATATTACAGATGCTGGCGACTACTCACCGCTCTCATCATGCCAAGAAGTACAACTGGTCGGACCTTGGCAAGCTGCGCCACGAGAAGCGCCTGCAGTCTCCCTCCCCCGACCAGCTCGACATGGCGCCCGCCCGCGGACCCTCCATCACGCTCATACGTTTTAAGGTACTGTCCAAACTGTTCGTTGTCTTGGTCTGACGTAGTGATTTCTATGAAGCTGGCAGTTTAAAATACTGAGTTGAAATAATTTAGCAGAACATTAATAAGACCTATAGCGCAGGTATTTTACACGAGTAGTAGTACAAACGTGTATTATAAAACATGTGTGTATGACAGGGCCGGCTGTGCCAGCGCAGTGTGCTGAATATGGAAGGACCTACGTACGGCAAGGACGGCTCTGTAGTGATGGGTCCCTACAACCCCGAGAACGCGAAGGGCCGTGACTTCAACAACACCACGCCCGCCAACCCGCTTCTGCCTCGCTGCTGCAACTGCTGCAAGAAGTCCGTCCTGGGCTGCCAGTGACGTCGTTGTCCACTACATTTTTATCTCCGGTAGTTTAGCCACTAAGTTTAATTAAAATTAATAAATAAATTATAAACAGTTATTATCTAAAATCCCTTTACTGTCATTTGTTTTTACTTTTATTGCTAGTAATATGGTATTTACTTATTTCACATTCTATGGCGATATGAATTATCGATAGTTTAGGTATATTCGCGGAAAATGTTGATAAGGTCCTTAGTCTGGTATATCCCCCGCCCACGGCGGCGGCGGCAGCAGATGGGGTCGCCGTCTGCAACAGGAATGGCACACTGTAGCCACTATAGGCGAGCGGGCACTAAGTGGGCAGAGGCACTGACCTGGGCGGCGCCGACATGTACCGCAGCACCCTGCAACACAGATACGCGTGAGTGCGGCTAGCGGAGGGCGATGAAGTCACTACAGGAAGCGGCCTCACATGTCGGCGTTGTCTCCCATCCGCATGTAGTCTCGGCGCGCCGTCTCGAGGCAGCACGCGCAAGGCTGGGCTGTGCTGGGCCCCGGCAGGTCGCGGGCGCGCTGCTCGTCGGACGGGGAGGGGGCGTCCAGCAGCTCGGCGCAGAGCAGCAGCAGCACCTCGAGGTGGGCGGCGGCCGGCTCCTGCAGCAGCGACCGGCACGCACTCCACGCGTCCGCCGGCCGTTCTGCGCGCTGTTCCATGCTACTCACGTATATAGAACGTGGCCGGTAGTAATCGACCCCTTCCTCGTGGCTGTTGAGAACTTTCTTATGCACGCGTTGTGGCGCAGCAATGGGGTGCGAAGCAGAGTCAGCATCCAGGATACCCTCGTCCAACGTGAAGGCGCTGTCGGGGATGTTACTAAAGGGCGCGTCGTGGTCGGACCGCGCGCGCTCGTATGGTTCCCCCGAGGCCGCGGCACTCGTCAGCAACGGAATGAGTAGCTCCATGCTGGACGGATAGCGCAGCTAAATATATACAGGAAAATACTAGATAATTATTAGAAGATCATACAAGATACAACAATTTTAATATAGTAGTTTAATTACTCACGTCTGCGTTATATTCTACATCTAGGCGTGACTCGGCGAGCGCGATGTGACACTGCTGGTGTAAGTATATTCAGTCATTACCAATCGGAACAAATACGTCACCTAACACTAAATATAAGGCCCCATAAGCAGCTGCAGTAATGTATGGTGAGCATCGAAAGTTGATGACAACATTTAGATTTTCAAACTAATATCAAATGGAGTTCTTCAGTGACATTTGACGAGTAGTGTTCAGTTAATTTTGAACTTTAAAGATGTTTATACAATACTGGCCCTATTTTGTTGAGTCATTGTTTTTATGTAGATAAACGGTAAAAGAGCAGACGGATTACCTAATGGTAAGCAATCAGCGCCGCCCATGGACACCCACAACAAGGAAAAAGTTACGAGCGCGTTGCCGGCCTTTTGACAAATTAGAGATTGGGGAGGGATTGGGGGATAAGTTGGATTGGGCCTCCGGTAATCTCATTCACACGGCAAAACAACGCTGTGCTTGTTTCACGCCGGTTTTCTGCGAGGCCGATAGGTCACTACGGTTAAGCCGACCCATTCGTGCCGAAACATTGCTCTCACACACTTATAGGTAATTTAGTGTATAGTGGTTTTAAAAATCTTAATATCGTCATTGACTTTTAATGATGACTGTACAACGAACGCATGACGCTCCACGCGCATGTATAGGCGGCCTTGATCAAGGTTGGCCAGTACTTACGGTGAGGTAAAGCCAGCTCGCCACTAACGTCACAAGCGCGCCAGATCTCATGGCGGCGACGTGACGACTGCGTACTGGCTGCGTGATATTCAGTACGCGGGGCAAAACTAAAAGCCTTATATAACCCCATACAAGATTGTCCAATTAAGTCATCCGTCACACTCGCGATGTTTAATAGATACGCCGTAACGCATTCGCGACGCATCCTACTTGGTCAGATCGTTCTTAATCAAATATCTACACCACAGCAGATTATTCAATGCTTTCCACAGTTGTGACATCAGCGAAAGTATTTTGCTTACCGCCACCGTAAGCGCGGGTCTGCGGACGGCGAGTAAGGATAGCTCGCCGCCCGACCAGAATCAGACTCGAGCGTACGGCCACACAAAGAGCCAATAGACCACCACAGACGGGGCCCTATAGGGCTGATGTTCAGCCGGGGTTGCGGGGTAAGCGCAATGAGGCACCGCGACCTCGGCCCAGAGCAGGAGAAGGAACAGGGGGGTTTTTAGTCAGTAAGAGTCTGACACTCCCTCCCGCCCAGGGCCGGGCGGGAGAAGTCAATTGATGATTTACCCTGACAAATAAAGGCTATTTGCTTTATCAAGTTGAATGTTCCGATAGCCTTTTCATACATTTTTGTCGCGTTATTCTTCGTACATAAACACTTTGCTGCCCAAAACAATTATTATTACTTATTACAATTATAATTATTTTATCACTTTTCTACATGTAATGGTGTCGCTAGGTACTTCTTGTTAAATAATTTGCATTAATTAATGTAAAAAACAGTGTTGAAAACCGAGCAAAAAGTGACTGCTATTTGACAACCAAACCTATATAGGTACCTAGGTAGGTGGGATATCCAAACTTATATTGCGAAGTAACTCTGTCTGTCTGTCTGTATTTTCTTCACGCCTAAACTACTGAACCTATTTGTGCGAAATTTCGTACAGAAATAATTTGGAACTCGAGAAAGGTCATAGGATAGTTTTTAAACCAAAAATCTTCAGGAAGTCGCGATTCATAACAAAGTCGCAGGCAAAAGCTATAGTAGAAATTAATAAATTAGGATACTGTGACCATAGCTTCAGTGACGAACAGACTGACAGACTACTTCTCTATTTTGACATTTCAAAAGTACCTATTTATAGTTTAGTTGGAATAAATGATTTTGACTTCGACTTTTGACATAACAAATCTAACCCTGTGCAGTATTATTTAAAAGTTGATACACGTAGGTATCAAAAGGTGGGCGAAGTAGGTACATTTTATATGTATGTACTTGCAAAAGTTGAAATGATGGACGGATAGACTTGCTACGTAGGGCTTTCGGGAATCGAGAAGCTAGTGTGTAATAAAGAATGTATTGGTGAGATTTGAAAACAAATATTTCTAAAAGAGTAACGAGGTTCTATCTCTTTCTACTCCATTCGAATCTACTTGCGACGAGCAGGCGAACACCTAACTTCACTGACAAACAGACTGACGGACTATCATTCTATTTTGGCGTTTGAAAAGTACTTTTATATGATTTAACCGAGACTTTTGGTAAAAACAAAACAAAATAAAACTCAAGTAGATAATAATATTGTAATTTATTTAATCGCTAGACTAGGAGGTACATATTGTTATCGCTATGCGTCCGTCCGTGCAGGCCGGTGCAGGCCCGAGCAGGCCCGTGCAGGCCCATGCAGGCTCACTTGTGCAGGCCGGCCCGCTTGGCCTCCAACTCGTAGATGAGCAGCCGCCACATCTTCACCACGAAGACCTCCGCCTCTTCGTCTAACACCTGGACAATTCAATTACGTTTAAACTCAAATCACTTTATTACCTTTTTTTTTATTTTTTTAATGTAACAAGTCGGCAAACGAGCAGACGGATTACCTGATGGTAAGCAATCAACGCCGCCCATGGACACCCGCAACGGAGGAGTTACGAGTGCGTTGCCGACCTTTTAGGGATTAGGGATTTGGAGATTTAGGGATTGGGGAAGGGTCCGGGAAGGGGAAGGATTGGGCCTCCGGTAACCTTACTCACACGGCGAAACACAACGCTGTGGTTGTTTCACGCCGGTTTTCTGTGAGGCCGTGGTATCACTCCGGTCGAGCCGACCAATTCGTGCTGAAGCATGGCTCTCCCACACTTAAACCTTATGTTCTTTCCTCGAAATCATTTCACATCATTCGATAGTGGCACAAAACAAAAATTTGAGAAAACGTACAATAAATTCGAAAACATACAATCATACGCACCCGCGAAAAGTCCTTACCGACTGTATTTTATCTATACTTATATTATAAAGGGGTAAAATTTGTAAGTTTGTATGTAGGGGGTAATCTTTGGAACCGCTGGTCGGATTGCCAAAATTCTTTCACTGATAGATAGCTACAATGTTCCTGAGTGCTATAGGCTATAAAACATCACGCTACGATTATATGGAGCAGAGCAGCAGGATGAGAAGATAGTGGAATATATAGTTCATGTTTGGTTTAAATACATCTACGTTATAGATTCAGTTGCAGGCAAAAATAGATTTTAAATATTTTTGTTATTTCATCGTTTATTCACCAACGACACTTACGCCTTCAACCGGGTTCTGTATGAACTAACGAGTTGCGTCTTTAATGCATAAAATAAACTCAGTTGAGAACAAGCATTCATTACTAACTAACTCAAATTGCCACAAATTTGGCTTGTCGTAACTTATCTATCAATAAATAATATAATCAGTACTTCATACTCACTCAAATCTCACAAGACTCGACAGATTCAAATCTCAATCAGACATAAGTTCTGTCAGTTCACACACATATTAGTCTACCCTCAATCTCATTGCTGTACCCTGAATCACGAATCACTCTTATGTAATAGGACGCAAAATAATAGACGGATTACCTGATGGTAAATGATCAGCGCCGCCCATGGACAGACGCAGCACCAGAGCAGTCACAGGCGCGTTGCCGGCCTTATACAACTTTTGAGAGTTTCTTGATCAATTTCTAATGTTCCTTCCATCACAAATCAATCTAATATCCCTTTTTCTCAAAAGGCCGATAACGGACGCCAACTCCTTTGGTGTTGAGAGTGTCAATGGGCGGCGCTGATTGCTTACCATCAGGTAAAACTTCTGCTCGTATGTCGACCTATCATTTAAAAAACCACATTATTTCCCTCAATCACACATCACACTGCTCCATAAAGTTACCAGTGCCACCACTTACCATCTGTACATCGTCGAGTATCCCTTGCGGCGCGGACCCAGCGACCACCTTACTGCAGATGAAGTCAACGAGGGTTGGCTCCGGCTCACCAATGTACTCGATTATTTTCTTATTTATCCACGGCCGAATTTTCTTTTCCATTAATACATTGTCAATCTGTAAACAATGAAACAATGAATTTATTTTTGCAAATAGGCCATAAAACGGCACTTTTACATGTCAATTGATATGTGAAAAACTAGATGAAGCCGGCATTTCCTATCTGACTACTCTGAGAAGAAATGCCGAAACAAACTTAGAGGTCAGTCTCTTTTCAAGTCTAGACTCTTATCAAGTATTATAACACGAGCTGGTTGAAGAATCAGCTTGGGTTATGGGGTCAAGCGCAATATGGTACCGCAGCTTCAGCCTAGAGCAGGAGAAGGAACGGGGGGTTTTTAGTCAGTAAGAGTCTGGGTCTCCCTCTCGCCATACCCTGGGCGAATGGTGTCATTGGATGCTTTTCTTTTTATAATTCGCAATCTCATGACATCTCACCAAATGGGGGAGGACGAAAATATTTGAAGAGATTACTTGACTAGCTTTAGTTTGAAGCTTCAGAAATAAACAAAGATCATCATCATCATCATCAGCCTGATGTCGACCACTTCTGGACATAGGCCTCCCTAATTGCACGCCACTGAGCTCGATGTTTAGCTCTTCTCATCCAACCACTGCCGGCCACCCTGAAGACATCGTCAGTCCGCCTAGCTGGAGGGCGCCCTTTTTTTGTAAGGGGACATCATCAAATGACTTCTCCCGCCCAGGGCCGGGCGGGAGGGAGTGTCAGACTCTTACTGACTAAAAACCCCCCTGTTCCTTCTCCTGCTCTGAGCCGAGGTCACGGTGCCTCATTGCGCTAACCCCGCAACCCCGGCTGGGAGGGCGCCCTACACTACGTTTGCCTAGACGTGGTCTCCACTCTAGGACACGTCTACTCCAACGGTCATCGGTTCTTCAACAAATTGACCTGTCCACTGCGACTTCAGTTTGGTTATCTTTTGGGCTACTTTAGTTCAAGTTCAGATTAAATAACAAAGCTATGAAAAGATTAATAAGTAATATTCTAACCTGTGCAGTATCAAGTTTGTATTGGAATAGCTGATCCTTCTGTGTGGGTATCTTGTCGATGAGACTTTTGATGTGTTTCCGTTTCTCTTCAGCGCTGCGATTCTCTTTGTCCCCGGCCGCCGCCTCGGCATTAGCGCCGCCGCCGCTGGCTTTCTTTGATTTGTCTTTCTTTTCTTTAGCTGTAATTAAAAGTTTGTATATGTATATGTAAGTTTGTATATATTATTTTGTACTTAATGTCGCGGTATTTCTGATCTTATGGAACCGAATTAATTTATCAAACCCCAAGCAAACGCCGGTTCGCGCATCTATTGTGAAGAGAAACACGTTTACCACATTTAAAGTTTAAAAGTTGTTATCTATACTAGTATTACAAAGAGGTAAAATTTGTAAGTTTGGAACTACTGGTTGGATTGCCAAAATTATTTCACTGATAGATAGCTACAATATTGCTGAGTGCTATAGGCTATAAAATATCACGCTACGATCAAATAGAGCCGAGCAGCGGGTGAAACCGCGCGGTAATATATGAAGCTAGTTATTAATATTTCTTTTTGCAATTTATATGGCCAACACATAAGACACCTTTCTTCTAATCTTTAAGCAATAAGAAGCTCGAATGAGAAAACATAATTATAACAAGTCTCCCTTTATCTAAATGTTAAACTTTACATGTAAGAGGCTAAGATAATTAAAGGTAAACAAGAGATATTAAAAATTACAAGGATATAGTAATACCTAACGAGAATTGAAAAGCTTGTCTTTAGAATTGCGATTAAAAAAATCACACCTTTTGTATCATAGTATTTCTGGCACATAAATATTAATACTCACGTCGAGGTTGGTCGTGTGTGTGCGACCCACTCGTAGGGGTACCATGTGAAGGGGGATGCGACCCCCCGTGTGGAGGGGGGTGGCCACCGTGGGGCCCTCCATGCGACCCGCCTGTGGGCTCGTCGTCGTCGCCTGCAAACGCTGCATGCACGCGTCTTACGCGACCTGACTCTGTTGGGAGACAAACACAAATCATTAATAAACTTTCCATTTAAAAAAAAACATTGCCCTACACTAGAATTTCCTCCTGTGTCGTGGGTGCTGTTACAAACATACAATTTCACATGCAAATCACACCCAGACCCGGAACAACAATCTGTGGATCACACAAAGAGTTGTTCGGTGCAGGAATCGAACCCGCGACACGTTGCGCGCCAGCCAGTTGCCCAGCCACCACGCCAACCGTGCAGTTAAATAGGATCTCTTTCAATATAAAAAGTTGCGTTTTAAAAACAGCCTTTGGGGTCAATATTATTGTTTGGGAAATACAATACAAGATAATAATATATTGATAAGTTGAATCAAACCACAAGCCGAAATTATGTTTGGGAAATGTAGTGAATTTCCCAGAAAATAATAATCTAAATTTTCACTCATGCACATGGCTTCACATTTTGGGGATTAAGGATTTGGAGATTTAGGGATTCTGTGAGGCCGTGGTATTACAACGGTCGAGCAGACCAATGCGTGCCGAAGCATGGCTCACCCACAATTATAATTACTGAAATCGAAAATGTCGTTTTAATACGGTGATCGCTCATTATTTTTGTCTGTGATATATTTTATTATATCTATTTTAAATGAAATTGTATAAAAATGTGTTAGTAAAACCAACCTCGGCCCATATAGTGTCCCAACCTCCAAGCTATCCAATGCAGCGTGAATATAAGAATATAATGATAAATAAAATACATTTTGCATTGCAATTATTATGAGCCAATCACATCTTACCATTCTGTGGAGCGATGAAAGCTGATAGTGGAAACTGAACATTATATTTATCATATAAAAATAGAATAATATTATCATTGCAACCGTGCATAGCTGGAGCGGGTAGCTAGTATATGTTTTTATTGATATGTCAAAAAAATATTGTAATCTTTGTACTGTTTTACAGTCAAAAATTATAACATTTTAATTCATGTTGTTAACTCGCAGTCACACATTTTTTTTTAGGCAACTAATATTTTCTAGTATACTATTAGAGACAATACTATTGCGATTGCTTCTTGAATATTGCAATATATTCAGAAGATAAACTGTTTAACTCTTGATGGAGATCTCATACAAAAAACTTTTAAGTATTTTAACACATTCAGTGCCCCCGACGCGTATGTGCGTTTCCTCGCACGCACATACGCGTCGGGGGCACTGAATGTGTTAATTTAAATGAAAAATTTCTTACAGTATAGCGTACAAATTTGTTAGTGTGATTCAAGTTTTCTTTTTGGTTAGCAATGGCTATACATACTACAAGAATACACACACAAACCACGTTAGTAAGACCTCAAAAAGTAAGTTAGACGAGTACTCACCGTTGGGCGTGTCATTAGCTGAGGGGCTCAACTTATGGTGGTTCTTGAAACTGATTGTGATAGGTGAACTACCCGTTGACGTCACAGTCTGCAAAACATGTCAATTTGCTTTATTTCATGTATTATTTGGTTGGTTGCATGTTCTAATATTGAAATTTACATAGATTCCCGGGTCGGGTAATGTGTTTAAAGTTTCTATAGTTAATAATTATTGATATGTATCATATGGAATTTATAACAAGACTGGTGACAATTAAAAAAACTGGGATTAACGGTGACATAAAATGAATGCTGAAATGGTGAGTAAAAGTGAAAAAAAAAAACTTTGTTGATAATAATAATAATGTAAATGATTGGAACAGGGTAACTTACCCTGTTCCTGATGACCTTATGATCCGCGAAGGAATCCGCATTCTTGCACCTCCATACAGACATGCAAGAATGGACGCCGTCGTTTTTAGTGTGTAAGTTCGACAGTCCCCTCCGTCCCCCCTCCTCCTCCCAGGAGGGACTCTGGGGATATCCCAAGGAACAAAGTCAGGCAGGTGACGATGGCGAAACGAGAGGGTCGGGACGATACGTACGTGGTGCGGCGGGGTGGGGGGCTGCGGCGGCGTGGTGCCGGCGTCGGAGCTCGGGGGCGAAGCCCTGCGGTGGTGGCGGTGCAGGCGGGGCGGCGTGCGCGGCGGCGAGGCGGGCGGCGAGGCGGGCTCGGCGGGGTCCGCGCCCGCGTCCGCGCCGCCCGACGCCGCGCCCGAGCTGTCCGACTCGATGGGCGACGCCTCGCAAGGCAACTCGCGCACCGCCGCCAGCCGCAGGTAGCGCTCGCGCTCGCGGGCCGCGCGCAGCCGGGCCTGCACGACAGCGTACCATTATACATCAACATTTCAAACAAGAATATTCATGCAATACGATTAACTTTAACGTCATGTTATTTCTACAATTTTAGTTTTGGGCATAAAAAACTTAGTTTTGCTCAGTAAAAACTTAGTTTTTAAAGAGCGTTAACCGTACAATCGTTGTAGTCCGAGAAGCAATAGAAGAATAATGAAGTTTAATGAATTCTAAAGTTTTTATTTACCTAAAAAATCTTAACCTAATGTCTTTTAAAAGAAAATTGTTTGAGTTTTTGCTAAATAAATGTTATTATTGCACTAAAGATTATTTAGATGACCTATCATAGACTTAGAATAAGTAGTGCATAGTTATAACTAGATATTAAGCGAAATAATTTGTACACCAATTCGGTAGAATGTGTGAGATTCCATACACATAACACAACACCTATATTTGTACTACATTTTCACAAATAAATATTTTCTTTCTTTCTTTCTATGTGAATTAGGATGCCTTTACTTGAAGGATAAAGAAAATGAAATATTTACTTGATTATAAAAATAAAAACTTTGCCACAGAGATATTTTTGAATACTAGTTATGAGCAGCATGTGCATTACAGTGATGTTACGTAGTTAATTGCTTGTCAATCGGCTCAATAAGACTACTGTTTTGATTGAAACTAATAGAAGTTTTCTTAGTGAAGTTATGTTTATAAAATAAACTGATCTATATACAAGACGAAACAAATATAAAACGTATTGAATATCTGTGTCCGTTTAATACTAATACAGTACAGCCGACGTTTTTTTGACGACACTGAAGTTAGCCGATTAGCTGCGCAGTACACAATTTTGTTAACTTGACAATCGGCTAACTTCAGAGTCGCCAAGATAAGTCGGCGGTATTGTAGGTAGCGACGTACCTCCCTGCGCGCCTCCTCCCGTTGCTCGGCGCGCTGCAGTTCCTGCGCGCGCTGCTGGTCGTGCTGCAGACTGACGTCGATGAGCAGACGCGGGCGGTACTGCGCGTCGAGCGCGGCGCGCGCGCGGTCGAAGGCGGCGCGCGCGGCGGGGTCGTCGGGCGCGCGTGCCCCCCAGACGCGCGCGCGCAGCTCCTCGAGCTCGTCGGCCTCGCGCGTGCGCTCGCGCGCGTCGCCCTCCGCCTCGCGCACGCGCACGCCCAGACGGCGCTGCAGCTCCTGGACCATCACGCATTTAATAAAAATGTCGCTTTCCCTGTCTCTATATTCCCTATGTACACTCAAATTTTTTCAACTTATACTTTGATGCGATTTTAATAAATTAACTAGTGAAAGTAAAAGAAATGTTTATTATAACATCCATTAAACAATAGAATATATTAATATCAACATTTCATCAGGCAGGCAAATCACTAGTTTTCTCCACTTTTCATGAATGTCGTCAAAGGTACATATTTGAATTGAAAAATACATCGTTTTACACTATATAATGATAATATTATAAGCAGTAACTACAATACAAGTTTCTATAGCCTTAATCACTCAACACATTAAAATAATCCAACTTCCAATAAATATAAGTAATTATTAGACATACAAGATACTTCACTTTGAATATTATGTTTGTATATATTAATCATAACTTTATCTTAGTCATATGAATTCGTAACAATAAAACGAATAATTTATTTTCTATATAAGCATTAACTAAATCCTAAGAAGTAATAAGTAATATTTGTATAATTATGGTAGAATAAAAATACATTACCTTCCCCTTGTAGTACTTGTGGTCGTCCCTCTCATCGTCATAGTCCTCCAAGAACTCCTTCAACCTTTTGGCCTCTTTCTCCCTCTCCTCCTCACGACACCGTTCCCTCTCGCGTTCCTTTTCATACTCCTTTGCCTTCCGCCGTTCACGACTCTCCCAATTACGCAACCTGGATATAAAAAAAACATGTATGAAGTGTGGGAAAGCCATGCTTCGGCACGAACAGTTCGGCTCGACCAGAGTGATACCACGGCCTCATAGAAAACCGGCGTGAAACAACCAAAGCGTTGTATTTTGCCATGCGAGTTCCATTCTTTTCAGATGTCGTATAAAATATATACTTACAAAGATTATTTACATTTAATTTATTAACTATATATTAGCTTGTATATTAGCTAGTATCGACTCAGGTAAATACCTAATTGTGATTTTTACACAACTTTTAGATAAAAAGATACGCTAAGATCGTTTACATTTAGATAATACCGATAGACCATTTTTTTGTCGGGGGAAAATCATCAAATGACTTCTCCCGCGCATAGTAAGGCGAGAGTGTCAGACTCTTACTGACTAAACCCCCACCATTTCAATAACACTTAATCAACACTCATACATACTAGCACGTACACATTACACACATTAACACACTCAAACACAATCATTATTATTTTCTTTGTAAACAACCACCTTTTATGTTTATATCAGTCTCATAATTATGCCCCAATTCATCCCATATACAAATCTGTATCAAACAGCAAATAAGATTTGCGCATAGAGCCGCAATAAACTCCCTCTTGGGGCGGGTTTAACCCAGAGTGGATAAAAAAAACCCCATTATTCCTTTTCCTATTCCGAGTCGATGATTCAGGTCATTGCGCTTACCCCACAACGCCGGCTAGTACCGATAGACCATGAGTCGTTAATTTTAAAAAACAGTGTCTCCAATCTTACCTCTCCTGGTAAGCAGCCTCCTTCTCCCTGGCCTTCTTCTCGAGTCGCTTCTTTTCCCTCGCTTCGTCCTCCTGCTCCTTGTCCTTCCTGGCGTCCGCCTCGCTACGGCTCCGGCCGCGCGATCGCTCGCGAGACCTCTCGCGTTCTCTGTCGCGTTCGCGTTCTCGCTCGCGTTCACGTTCACTGGAAATATAAATGTGATATCACCATCAAAATTAAAGTAAAATCATTTATTTCGCTAAACTAAGCTAAGCTATTTGCCTGATCCAAAGTGTCGTGGTGGCTCGGAGGTTAAGGTGCTTCTCATGCATGAGGGTGCGGGTTCGAAACCTGGCAAGTACCAATGTGACTTCTTTCAAGTCATATGTACTTTCTATGATTATATAGACACCACTGACATACGGTGAAGGTAAACATCGTGAGGAAACCTGGACTTATAATTTCTAATTATAAGTTTGAAATCGCCAACCCGTATTGAGCAAGCGTAGTGATAAATGCTCAAACCTTCTCCGTGTGAGGAGAGGCCTTTGCTTAGCAGTGGGCACTTATAGGCTGATGCTGCTGTAAGTGTAGATACTTGTGGCGAAAGACGAACAAGAAACTCAAATGAGAACAGGGTATAACTACAATATTTAACCAATGGGACAAAAAAGGAAAGTACATAGGGATTGTGTTTCGACGGAGTGATACCACGGCCTCACAGACAACCGGCGTGAAAAAACCATCGCGTTGTTTTTCGCCGTGTAAGTGAGGTTACCAGAGGCCCAATACTTCACAATCCCTAATCCCCAAAAGGTCGGGAACGCACTAGTAACTCCTCTGTTGTTGCGGATGTCCATGGGCGACGCTGATTGCTTACCATCAGGTAATCCGTCTGCTCGTTTGCCGACCCATACCATACCATAAAAAACACAAAAAACATACCCCAATATCTCATATCGCGTTCGTATAAATGGGTAAATTTTCAACATGATCACTGTCGACCGACTAACTAGCTCGGCAACTACTGGCAAGCGAGAAAACCTTATCGGTTGACGGTAAAACCTTACTATGGCAATTCTTTTAAAATAAAAGTCGCATGTATTAAACAAATTATTCTTAGCGGGTTTGTTACTGTGTTTCTATGGCTACAGTTTTTTATTTTTATTTATTTATTTCAATGCACAATACAACTTACTGTCATATACATATTATAATGTAAATACACTGGTTAGAACTGCATCGTAAAGTACCTTAATATGTGCACAAATAGAGAAACAAAGTGTGACTCTGGTTTTTAAATCATATTTTATTAAAGCTAAGCTAATTGTATCCGTTATTTATTAATCGCCTGGTTCGTTAATTGAAGGGGGCAAGCGAATATTATTACAGGAAAGAAAAAAAAAACAAAGAAAGTAATTGATGTCTTTTTTCGAAGGCGGATAGTCATTAAATGACATCTTTCGCCCAAGGTGAGGCAAGAAGGAATGTCAGACTCTTTACTGCCAAAAAAAAAACACTATTTTTTCTGAAGCTCCATGTAAGGTCTGCGATACCTTATTTCGGTTGCGGGGCAACCAAAAAGGAACGGAGTGATTTTTGTCAGCAAGACTGTGACATTCCTACTCAGCAAAGGGCAAGAAAATCATTTGATTTCAAGCCCCAAAAAAATCACTGAGAAAGAATACTTAATGACATTCATCACCCCGCCCTATATACTTTTATATGCCATTTTGTGTATATGTCACCGGAAAATAACAGCTTTCGTCGAAGGAGAAGTGACACGTGACAGCCAACCAATCAGAACGCGCGTAGCTTTTGGTTACTGCTTACTTATTATTTTACGAGTGAGTTTAGTAAGTTTATCAATTTACGAAAATGTGGACGTAAAATATTACAATTTATCTCCCGTTTAGTCTTACGAAAGTTTATAAACTTCCTAGTAAATTGATAAACTTACGGATCTTGTTATTTTCCGTTGACATATATAAGAGTACAAATTAATAAATAACAAAGCCAGTGAACAGTCGCCTTTACCGACTTTACAGCTATATGACCTAAATGTTGCAACTTTATTACTATTCACTTATCGACTTTCGCGCTGATTGCACGCTCAAATAAATACTCTATACACAGAGCCGTATTTTCCCGAAAGAAACGGCAAGGCAAGTGAACTAAGGCGCCAGGTAAATAAAAAGTATGGGAGAGCCATGCTCCGGAGTGATACCACGGCCTAACAGAGAAAACTGGCGTGAAACAACCACAGCTTTGTGTTTCGCCGTGACAATTAGTTACCGGACACTCAATTCCTCCCTCTCCTCATCATCATCATCATCAGCCTATAAGTGCCCACTGCTGAGCAAAGGCCTCTTCTCACACGGAGAAGGTTTTGAGCATTAATCACCACACTTGCTAAATACGGGTTGGCGATTTCAAACTTATAATTAGAAATTATAAGTGTAGGTTTCCTCACGATGTTTACCTTCACCGTATGTCAGTGGTGTCTAAATAATCATAGAAAGTACATGTAACTCGGAAAAAGTCACATTGGTACTTGCCAGGTTTCGAACCCACACCCTCCTGCATGAGAAGCGGCCTCCTTAACCTCCTTTGTTGTTGCTGGTCGATTGCTTACCATCAGGTAATCCGTCTGCTCGATTGCAGACATATCCCATAAAACAATAATTTTGGCCCTCCATACCTAAATGTTTATTTTAAAAATTTTGGGTCAACTATGAGGTGCCTGCTTTTTTAAGCGCTCACAGGGTTAAATAGGATCACCAATAACGTGCTCGCCTTGAGCGCTCACAGGGTTACATTTATGGAACTCCTGCTGTTATTTTTTACTTTAGAATGTTGTGTTATTATTAAATACAATAAAACAAGCAAGCTATAACTTATTTAGAATGTGTTGCTTTTGTCCATGCGTCACTGCAGGGATGCCAACTGAAAATCAGTTATGAGTGCTCAAATTGCCCAGATTTTGCTAAGTTGGCGACCCATTCGGATTGGGCATGTCTACCAACACTACTTAATATGTTTTTACTGTTTATTATTAGTCTGTTTTACTATTATAATTTTTCTGTTATTAATTGTTTTTTTTTTGTATTTGCGATCATGTCTTATACGAATCAAACTGTAAGTAACTAGAGTATAAAAAAAAAATTACCGTTCCCTTTCTCTTTCCCTCTCTCGCTCGCGTATCTCCCTTTCTCGTTCACGCTCGCGCTGCTCCCTGGAATAAACGGCATACTTAGTAATGATATAAAAATTTAAATCATTCATAATGGGACAGCTAAGCACGAATGGGGCGGTTCGACGACCAGAACCTCAAAGAAAACCAGCGTGAACGACGCCGTGTCAAAGTCACATTGGCCATAATGCGAGGTAAAATGGTTCCACCCTCCAAAAATATTGAAAGCGCACATGTAAAGCTTCTGGTGTTCAGCGCCAATTGAGTTGTTTCTTAGAACAAAAATAAATTATTCCACGTTTCAATTCAATAAAATATTGCAAAATACTTTCATTTATCGATCTGTCGATTTTACAAAATTTTCGTTACTTTTTAGCTTATTTTTAAGAAATAATTAAGCAATTTGACGCAAAAATACTGTGACGTCATAATTTGGAGTTTCATACATATTTTATAGAACAGTATCGTTTTTGACATTTGGATAAAAGTATTGAATTTGACTAGTTGGAAACTACCGTATTGCTTAGTTTGCTCGTTTCTCTCAATTACATAAAAATAAAACGTAATTCCAAAATTATGCGCACGCGCATGTTTCTTAAAACTGACCTCTCCCTTTCTCTTTCTCGCTCTCGTTCCCGTTCTCTGTCTCGCTCCCTCTCCTCGCGTTCCCTTTCCCTCTCCTTGTCACGATCTTCGCGTCGGTCTTTACCCCTGAAACAAGATTTAATTTCTCATGAAGGCATTTATTTTATTGTTAAAACACACTGAAGAAAACTAAGTATTTTTATCGATCAAAAATAAATTCCTTCAATCGTGCTTCAATGATGGAATTGACGATACACTTAATTATAGGTATTTATTGGTTACATTTATACTATTATTTATTTTATTTACACAGGTAACGCTAGTACTCTTTGTTATTACCTCGAAGTACTCCGACGGCGACGATCTTTATCTCTGGCATCTCTATCTCTCTCCTTGTCCCGGTCGCGTTCCCGATCCCGCTCGCGATCCTTATCCCGTTCCCGTTCCCGGTCGGCGGGTCGGTCGCGGCGGTCGTCCCGCTCGCGGCGCTCGTCCCGCTCGCGCGGCCTGTCGGGCTCGTCCTTGTTGTCCCGCTTGCGGCGCACGACGACGTCGGCCTCCTCCTGCGCCCAAACGAGAGGACTGAGTGCGCGGGCGGCCGCGTGTCGTCCGAAGCCACAGTTCGCACACGAACCAACAAACTACGGCGCGGCCTCGCTGACGCGCTCGCGGCCCCCGCCGGCCTGACGGGGTCAGTCGGGGGCGGGGCGCGTCGGGTCAGCGAGCCCGCGCCGATTGATAAGTCGAGCAAGATCAATTTCATACGATTGAGGGTGGTCGGGCGCTAGCACGCGATAGTACGAGCGACAAGGTTGCGCCGCTCCCCGCCGAGGCCGCTCCGCCGCATCTGAAAATCGCCACCTACTGACCACTCGAACTGACACTGGCTACTACTAGACTACCGGACCGCCGCGCGCCCGGAGCCCGAGGGGGGCGCGGGCGGGCGGCGGCGGCTACTCACGCAGTCCTGGCGCCGGCTCCCGGCCCCCGGCCGCTCCCCGCAACTCGCTGTATACTACTTATGTTACTGCCCTCACGACGCCGCCGCCCATAGCTTGCGGCTAGCTAACGCTCGCTGGATTTTATTCTTGTGTTCAAATCATGTTTTCAAAATAAAACACCTATTCTCCAGTCTCAATAGTACCCACGAGAGTATCGTAATTATTAATTGGTATTGAAATAAGTGAACACGGTCCAAGTAATCAACAACACTAAGCATCAATCTCTATTATCATTAACGTACTTTTATGCGAGTATGTGTGTACATTTTGACAAAACCTTGTCTTGTGTATTGATTTCTTGGACCTTAGATATGAATAGCAAAATGAGCCTACACAATACATACAACTGATTATAGTTATTATTATTATTTTACAATAGTAACAAAAGCTTTTCTTGACATGTAAGTACACTCAATCCTATTGACTCTACGGGTCCAGTTTTGATTTATTTAGAATATGTAGTTTGTATGTTGATAGAAAAGATCATTAACCACTGTAAAGTTTGTAAAATTACAATGTCAAAGACAATATCAATTAGACCATTACTGCACTATTATAGTCATATTTTCATACTTTAAAAAAGCCAATTGTCTGATTACCGCCATAATAGGATTTTGACAAGCAAGTTAAAAACTTGCAATGTAGTACGTAGGTGTGTTAATGAGGTAGAATTTTACTACTACATTTTAAAAGCAGAAATCTTTAACCAATTAAGCTAAAATTTTATGACCATGAATACTAATCCGTAAAAAATGTATCTATAGTGTTAATATACCCCGAATTATTGGCCCACCCGTTTTCAATAGGATTGATATGGCCTATACATAACATCAATTAAGTCTAAACAAATCTGATGATTAACTGTAGCGAAGCGTTGATGAAAATCAATTACAATTTATATGCTTCTCAAACCTGAATTAATTATGACAAAAAGACTAGGTTTTAAAATCAATTTTTATTAAATATTATGACGCTATTTTTAAAGTGTCATAGTGACAGTTGACAGCAATGAAAGAAATGATACCTGATTTACGGTCGATTAGTATAATTTATGTGAAAGTGTGAAGTAAATGTGAATTAACGTCAAACAGTAAAAAATATTTTTTTATTAATCGACCAAAATCTCCGTAATGCTACTTTTCTTTCAGTCGTGGCAATTAGAGAGACAATAGGCGAGCGTTTGCTTGGTTTGATGAAATAAAACATAATTTAAAGCTTTCATTGCTGTTTAAATTAAACAAAAATGATGAAAGTATTGTGACAGATATCAGTCAAACAATGCGACTTGACACAGAGAGGACAGTGTTACCAACCAATAATATTATTAGATTATTTAAAAAAACAACACTCATCCTTCATTTTTCAGTTATAGCTATGAATGTGAATTTTTATTTTAGTAAAATAATATTCTCCAATTGACAACATTTTTGTTAGAACAATATTATATTATTGATTTATTAAAAGCAACCTTTAACTAAAAAACGTTATGCACGCTCTGATTTTTTGTCAATCTTTTCAAATACTTTCGTACTTTCGTCGCGTCCACACGCGCGGTTTTCTATAAACCCCGTATTATTATTATATTGTTAGTTTACGAAAATATTACCGCGCTATAATTAACCATATAACGCGTTTAGTTAATTTTAAGTACGAAAAAAAAACTGACAAATGTTGTCAACTGTCAAATTGCTCAGCTGTCAAAAACAATGATCACCATTTTCATCCCTGTTCTAAGAGACCCTCAAAAATGGCCAGCGGTGAACATATAAATAGTGAACTTGATGATAAATTGAAAATTAAAAAAATAATTAGTATTACAATAGCTAAAAAAAAAAATATTGTGTAGTGACCAAAAAGTTCGTCTTAATATTAGACATGTATTTTTTTTTTATTAATACACATATACATTAAATATAAAACAGGCCACATATCCATCGTCGTGGTGTCGTGGTGGCCCGGAGTACCAATGTGACTGTTCCCGAGTTATACATATGTACTTTCTATGATTATATAGACACCACTGACATACAGTGAAGGAAAACATTGTCAGGGATCCAGGACTTAGTTTGAAGTCGCCTATGCGCCTTGAGCAAGCGTGGCGATTAATGATCAAACCTTCCCTTGTGGGAAGAGGCCTTTGTTCAGCAGTGGGCTCTTATAGGCTGATGATGTGAGTGTGATGACCAGATACTAAGGAAAGTCTTTAGACTTACTTCCATAAAAAAAATAAATATCTAATATATTACCTCTAAAATCTAATAAACTGACTATATTAAACAAATGCTTTCATACCCTGTCACGAATCACGATCCTTAAACCATTGCATGCCGATAAAATTGCAATAAAAAACTGTAATTTATGAAATGAACATTTTAACCGACCCGATTTTCACCACATCTTAGAAAAAACATTTTAAAATCTTTCCCTAATTGAAGGTGTGAGGGAATGTACTCACTACTGAATCCATGGTGTCAGGCATGGGCGCGGCTGGTGGCTATGGAGCTAAAAAAGTGAGCCGGATGATGTGGAACATGTTTGGGTATGGAACAGGATGAGATTAGGGAGGGGATCGGGGGAATTTAGGGATTGGACAAGATAAGTTTTGGGATGGGATAATATTGGAGATAGGGGCAGGATGACATTGGGGATGAGGACAGGATGAGATTGGGGATAGGGGCAGGATGAGATTGGGGATAGGGGGAGGATGAGATTAGGGATGGGAGAGGACAAGATTGGGATGGGGACGGGGCGTGACGCAGGTGCGATCTTACCTTCATACTCTCGCGGAACTTGCCAATCTCGCGATGGATCACATCGCGCTTCTCCTCAGATATGTCAGCTTCCTCGAGCACGCGCGCCGTTTTGGAGATCGCTTCCTCTGCGAATACAATTGAAGAATATATATGATTGAAGCAAACCCGCTGTATTTAAATTATAGAGAGGTTTAATTCCGGGCCATGTTCTTTTGTGAGTGTTGGGAGCAAAACTAAGTGTGGGGGAGCCATGCTTCGGCACGAATGGGTCGGCTCGACCAGAGTGATACCACGGTTGTGTTTCGCCGTGTGAGTGAGGTTACCGGAGGACCAATCCTTCCAATCCCTAATCCCCAAAAAGGTCTCGGCAACGCACTCGTAAGTGCTCTGTTCTTGCGGGGGGCGGCGGCGCTGATTGCTTACCATCAGGCCATACGACTGCTAGTTTGTCGACCTATCACATAAAAAAACTATCTACTTCTTCACAAAAATTTTACTCACCCTTCTGTAGCAGCTCGTAATTATTAATATCGTCCTGGTAATCTCGCATGATCTGTTGTAGACGTCGCTCGGCAGCTTCGTCTAGTGCCCTCTGCCGGGCGTCTAGGTAGGAGGCTTCGCCCTCTGTACCGGGAGCGCCCTCCTCCTGCCCTAGCCTAGATCGCTGTTCAGCTGGAAATAAATAGAAATATTAGTTAGTAGCTGGCAATAAAATTGAGTAGACAAGAAAGGATAATTTATGTGCTGAAGCCAGAAGAACAAGCTATTCTAAAACTATCAAATAACTTCAATAATATTCAACTATTTGTTTATACCATTTGCCTAGGTATATAACTGGAGTGTATACTTTATTCAAATGTCCAACTATCCTACTAATATTATTGCCAAAGTACTTAGTATGATTTATCAATGTGATAAAGAGTCTACCACCTGTCCAAGACTACAGGCATGTGCAGATCCCACATAATTGTGTTTTCACGCATCCATAGAGGATCCATACAATGATCTATTAATCCTATCACAAATTAATTTATTGTGATTGGCCCTTGAGATGTATGTAAAGTTGACAGAACCTATTTTTTTATTGAACTTACTTTTATATGTATCAACCAACGCCTGCATCTTGCCGTCTGTCTTGGCAAGCAGCTGCTTGTCAGCAACGGGCCTACTGTTCAGTAGGCGCACGCAGCGTAGCGCGGCCTCCGGACTGGCGAACTCACTGAATCCAAATGTGGACACACGTTTCCAACTGAGCACGGGGCCACAAGCGCCCAGTAGGGAGCGAATCATGGCGTCCGGCGCTCGGGAAGATATGTTACCTATAACAATAGTTTATAATTATTAGTACGCAAGCTACTCTCGCGCGGTTTCACCCGCTGCTCGGTTCCATTTAATCCTGAGTTATATAGTTCCATATAAGCCTGATGTTTTATAGCCTATAGCACTCAGGAACATTGTAGCTATCTATCAGTGAAAGAATTTTGGCAATCCGACCAGCGGTTCCAAATATTAGTTTCGACTCTATACCAGTAAAATAATAAAGAATGGACATTTTTTTTAAAAAAACAATGTCCTTTCGTGAAGACTTTTTACAAGTAAGTAGATAGGTGTGGCTTTGTTCAGAGCGAGAGAGCCAAGCTTGGGTTCTAATGGGCTGACTGAACGGAGTAATACCACGGCCTCACAGAAAACCGGCGTTGCAGTTACCGGATACCCAATCCGTCCCAATTCCTAAATCTCTGCAACCCAAATCTTTAAGGGCACCAACACACTTGCAACTCTGGTGTTGCAGTTGTCCATGGGCGGCGCCGAATGCTTACCATCAGGTTATCCGTAAGCTAGTTTGCCGATCTATCACATAAAAAAGAGCGTACAATATCGCCAACGTATCTTGGCGAGTCTGAAGTTAGCCGATTAGCTGCTGCGTAGTACACAATTTTGTTACTAAAAGATCCATTGCGCAGACAAACGGCTAACTTCAGACTCGCCAAGATACGTCGGCTGTACTGTACAGGATGATATGATTATTTATTTATTCATTAATTTGAGACTTCATGCACAAAACACTATACATAGGCGGACTTAATGCAATGAGCATTCTCTACCAGTCTACCTTTGGGTGATGCAGAGATAATCTGGTGGCAGGTGCAAGAAGCAAGCAAATTGAATTAAATATACCAAACATATAAATAAAATTAGATTATTACCTATGAAGACTGTAACGGCAGGTCCCTCAGGATCCTTAGCACCGTTAGCATTGCGGGTCGGCCCGCGAGAGATGACAGCTTTGCCGGGAGGGGGCGCGGGCAGCAGAGCTCCTCGCCCGCTGCCCGCATTGCTCGCACTGTAAGCTCCGACCATCACCTGCGATACAAAGACCTCTATTACCATATCAGACCACCTTCAAGGAATAAGTACAAGAATTTAGATTCTAATTTATAAAAGGACAACTTTAAGAAATTATTATTTATGAGGAAGTACTTCAGGGTTTACGATAGTAAGAATATAAGTTATTTTTAAGTGCCTTAAAGTATCTGCAGCTAAATCATGTTTTGTACTCTAAAATAAAAAGTTTATGTGCACTATGGATGCATAAAAGATATTCGGCCTTATTACAAAACAAGGTTTTACTTTAGTCTAGGACTAAACCATTGAGCCAGTTTTCGTATTTCGAATTGAAGGTTGATGACAATAGGATTCAAAATTCTAAACCCGACTCAATGGTTTAACCCTGGACTAAAGATAAACCTTGTTTTGTAATAAGGGGGCCTGAGTTTAAAGTACTGTAATTACATAATATTTTAATGAGACATGCTTTTTAATGACAGAGAAAACAAAAGTAAAACTTTAAGAAGGTTTTATTGTAAAATGTTCAGAAATAAAATATTATTTACACTATTATTAATTTATTTAAAATGCTTGAAAGATTAAAATGTTTTTAAATTCAATATTACAAATTTTGCATGACAAACATGAGTATTCATGCATTATCATGGTGCAAAACAATGTAGAGGTTTTGGCATGATATAATGATATTATTTGAAGTACACAATATGTTATGTTTATGCTTAAGAAATCAATAGATAAATTTAATAACAAAATTAAATGTTAATTAGATCTATTAACCTAAGCTGGGTATCAGTGAAAGGATTTTGGAAATCTGACACGCGATTCCGAATATATTTTGAATTTTGGATAAAAGTAAATGTGTTACCCCTTGACATAAACTGTTACATACTATTTATTGTGTATTTCTACACCGGTAATGTTAGTACATATATGTAGAATGGGGTTAATATTAAGCTCAGTGTACACCATGTACTAAGAAATAAATTATATATATTCTATTCATACACATTTTCTACTTAGCAAATTGTCTTTAATTTTTCATAAACATTATTGGTATTAAACAGTGTCGTGGTGGCCCGGAGGTTAAGGAGCCCGCTTCTCATACATGAGGGTGTTGGTTCGAAACCTGGCAAGTACCAATGTGACTTTTTCCGAGTTATATATACTTTCTATGATTATTTAGACACCACTGACAAACGGTGAAGGAAAACACCGTGAGGAAACCTGGACTTATAATTTCTAATTATAAGTTTGAAATCGCCAACCCGCATTGAGCAAGCGTGGTGATTAATGCTCTAACCTTCTCTGTATGAGAAGAAGGCCTTTGCTCAGCAGTGGGCACTTATAGGCTGATGATGATGATGATGATTATTGGCAATAGAGAGAAAGAAAGACCTTGGCTAATTTAGGCGGGAAAAGCCATAGATAAATGACAGCAATTTGTTAAGTCACATTACCAACACCTACTCTTTTACTGACAATTTAACTAATAATAAAACCAAAAAGAAAATTTGAAAATATAGAAATATTTTACAGATATTCTTAGGAGTAGCTTGGTGTTATAAGTAAAGTAAGGTTAATGTGGCAATAAAATAAATCAATCTAAGAATTAGCCAAGTATATGTATATATGTATATATATTAAGTATATAAGTAAGAGATAGCTAACTAAGAAGTGACAAACTACTATTATAACCTAAAAACAATTTTTTTTGGTGAAAACCAATACTATAGGAAAAAGTTGTAAACCTAAAGATGATTACAGCCAGTTCTTTGACTATATTCTAAAATAAATAATTCATAGTCTATTATAAAGAATATCTCTAAGTAAACACAAATGTGAAACATAACTTTCTAGTGATACTTCACGTCAAAACAAGAAAGTTATATGTAAAAAAAGGATTTATTATAAGTCTTTCTTTTAAATATTTTACTGACAATACTATTACGTTAAGGGCAATCATTTATTTAATGTATCTATAGTTTATTTCGGTCTTGCAAAAACAAACAGAAATTTCTCTAACTACTGTGAAGATGTTTAAAGGGCTTTTCAGTAATTACAGCAATAATTTTATGAAATAAAGGATTAGTGTTAAAATTAAATTAAATTACCAATATATTAAAGTAATAAAAGGTAAAGAAAAGAGTTGTTGTTACCATGCAGTATTAAATCTCACATCTCACAAGGCTGAAGATGAAGTGTCTTGGACAGTCAAAAATAAAATAAGAATTAATATTGATCTATGGTTCACCCTATGTAAATTAGGTTAATAAATTAACACCTTTTCTTTGCTATAAAATATATGGTCTTTATTCTTTCAAAGTCAAAGCAATTATTTATTGATCTGAGGATTATTACTACTTTAAATTCAAACATTAGTGCAAAAAATGCCAATAAGTACTTGGTATTAAAAGGAAATGGGAATGGCATTCATACCTTTGGAATTATTTTCACAGGATTGTAAGTATACTCTCAGAAATCCTAATACCGATACAGGTTACTTAGATACGATTGTAACGTATCAAATATTGAAAGTCCTCGCAAATGACATGTAATAATTTAAACACTTTTTCATGCTTGAATAATTACAATTATCTTGTGAAAATTGCTACTGATTGATTCTGCAGAACATTGTAACGGAAATGTGTGATGAATCAGCTGTATGGTGGATCTTGTTTCTGCAACTGCAGCCTAATTTGTAGCGAGGTTAGGCCCTTTAGAACTTACATGTGTGGGCATCTGCATTGTGACGACTCCCGGCGCTATCCCGTATGGCACCAGCGGCGGCCGGGGCGGGAACGACATCTTACCGCTTAATACCTGTGCTTACGGCTTGGCTGCACTGGTGATGGCCAGGTTTCACCACAAAATCACCACCGGTGACGCGTTCACTTTTTTTACGAATAAATTCACTAAATAAGTAGCAATTTCTACTGACATTAAATAATAAATATATTATTATAACTAGGATCTATTTAAAACAATCTTAAAATCTCACTATAAACCACAATTCACGAAAATCACTTTTATCACCAACATGGTTACTTTAGCAGCCATATTGTTTTTTTACAATTTAACATTTTACATGTCAGATTGTCAATATCGCATAATCTGTGCCTCTGTGGTTTCGTTCAGAAAAGCAAAAAGGTTCTATAGATTTTAAACTATTTATGGAAAATTGATGGAATCAAATATTAAATTGATATAATATAATGTACCTAGATCCTTTTTGATTAAAAGAAACATTTATTGCAATAATGCGTTAATGCAAGCAAGTTCACCTTTTTTATAATTGTTTGCTTACTTTAAAGGAAAATTATGTTTAATGCGTTAATGGAATATCTTATTTTATTCTATTTTTTAGTTACATTAAGATGTAACGAATATCAACGACTTTTATCTTTGGTGGGACTAATAAATATTTATTTTTACTAATAAACCTTGGTGATGAATACTTTTTATTTCTGACACTAGATGGCGGTGTTGTCAGTATTTTATACAAAGAGTATGTAACCACTACGTTTAATTTTATATTTTTACCAGACCCGTACGTCGCGTTACGTTCCGCGCGCGCCTCAAATAGCCAATAGAATCTCAAAACTATTGCTGTCATCAAATAAATTGGCAACATACATAAAAATAATGCAAAATATTCCCTTCGATTGTTGCTAAGTATAAAAACACAATACAAACACAACATCGCCTTATAATAATATAAACTCATACTATCTACACACAATCAGACGTTACTTTGCGGAAATCTATGACATTAAATGTTTATGAAAATGGCATGTTTAACACGTATGCATATGCATGTTTCCTTCACTGCACGTGCATGATTGAATCCTGCAACAAACCTGGATTTTTGTTGCGGAGTTAACACTTGATATCTTTTATATAAAATTTAATTACATAATGGTATTTGTAAGGAGTAATCTTTTTTGTGTCGATAAAGTATGAAAAAGTCAACAAAACCTTTAATTTTAATTCTTATTAGATTGTGATTAGGTACACATAATAAAGGGTGACCATACTTTGTTTAAAAAAGGGAAATTCTCGATTTGTACCAACAAACGACAAGAGTACACACATTAAAAAAAATGCAACGCTCTCTTTTTGCTAACCATACTTTGAGTCCTTTACCTATATTTAATGGTGGGCAGCACTTATTCCAAGCTATGAGGTGCTGAGATTTTTCATACAAACAAGAGCTTAGAGACCCCGTGCTCTGCATTGCTCTGTATCGCACTGGCAATCACTCGATTCACGAGGTGAAAATTTCCAATAATCTATATGATAACGCTTAAATATCTCCTATGTAAATTTAAGTAGAATTATTTCTGGATTTTCTTTTACGGTACCTACCTACATCATTATCCCGTAAATAATTGTTAGTTTATATCCTACTTTATACAAGTTTCGGTTTTATGAAAATTAGATATATTCTCTTTGCTTATATGAAAATGTCATATAATTTTCCCGCCTACCGTAATTATTAGTAAAAATAAAACTACAATACCTACCTACATCGACCAACAAGTATTTTATTAAATATGCACATACACAACAATAATACAATAAATTCTTCTAAAACTTACAACGGAATCAAACTGAATCACGCATTGCATAGAAGGCAGTTTGCCTTGCCCTTTGCAAGTGCAAAAATATATTTCAGGAAATTCAGAAACGGTATTTCCGGGCGTACTCTCTTATTGTAGATTCATTGTAGACTCTGTAGAAGATCTAGCAAAAAGTTCCATCTCTTCAGTTTGCATTTCAGTTTCATCATCATCCGCCTATAAGAAACCTCTTTAGCCCTTCTCACTTGGAGAAGGTTTGAGCATTAATCACCACGTTGCTCAAGGCGATTCCAAACATATAATTATAAATTACCTATGTATAAGTCCAGGTTTTCCTGGTTTCATGATGTTGGCCTCCGAATGTGTCACAGAAAACCGGCGTGAAATAACCATTGCGTTGTGTTTCGCCGTGCGAGTGAGGTTACCGGAGGCCCAATCCTTCCTTCCCCTTCCCCAATCCCTAAATCTCCAAATCCCTAATCCCTAAAAGGTCGGCAACGCACTCGTAACTCCTCCGTTGCGAGTGTCCATGGGCGGCGCTGATTGCTTACCATCAGGTAATCCGTCTGCTCGTTTGCCGACCTATTACATAAAAAAAAATGTCAGAGGTGTCTAGATAATCCTAGAAAGTACATATAACTCGGCAAAAGTGTCACAATGGTACTTGCCAGGCTTCGGACCCGTACGCTCATGCATGAGAAGCGGGGACCACCGCGTCATTTTTCAGTATCAAGAAGAAAATACCCTCGTTTCTTACATAGAATACCAATACAGTATGTAAATCTCGACAATGGTAACGACAAAATTCAGTAGGTAGTCAATAATAAACATAAGTAGGTCTAAAATCTTATGATGAAGATTCTAATACTTACAGCGATGAAATTCTATCTGAAATAAAAAAACAAATTATGTATTTTTTAAACTAACTTTAATAATTTGAACATAAATTTATTGACTTAGAAATATTTATACAAAATAAAATTACTAACTAAGTAATACAATAGATTTTACAAAACATTTATTGAATTGTGATATGTATCCTAAGTGTAATTGATTTTATAACAAATTTTAGGTTAGGTTAGAGTTTCAGTTTGAGAGCATTCAAAAGTTATTATATTGTAATTTACAGAACATAATATTGTCAAAACAGCATAACAACAATACTTAAGTAAAATAATTAAATGCTCTTGATTCTTATGAATGAAAAATGTAAATGCCAAAATGTATTTTAGCATAAATTACCTTTTACGAACTACTAATGCAGAATGGGTGTCGTGTCGATATAATGAGGGATTTCAGATTGCGCTCACAAGATGTCGCTAAATGCGTAAAATCCTGACCAATAAGACTTACTATTGCAAATACTTTATTCGTCAATAGACTTTATGCTACACTAGCGCCCCTAGTAACAGATACACCTGAGGGTGTATCTTATTTTTCATAATTTTTACAATGAGTGACTTGCAAAATTGAAGTTAAATGCTTAGATATAATGTTCAATAACGTAATGAAGTGCACTCTAGTGATCTGGATGACTGATGATAACTTGTACAGAGATTATTGTTAGGTAGGTATAGTTTTTCACCCGTGGAGCACGAACCACAAATTATGCACTGAACAGCAATTATGGACTATGGCCCTGCTTGGGAGTGGAGATAAAAAAGTGATGATTTTACAATTAAAAAAAAAACACTATCATCAAGAACCACATACCCACTGATGAAAAGGTATTAGATAAAAAGTCATATTTCATATTTTTAGAGTTTATGAGCATAGAGTTAAAGACAAATAGACTGATCAAAGCCTTTTATATTATATTATGCAAAGAATAGTTTCTTTGTAACGTTAATACATAAAAATGTCTAACTTTGTCACTTTGTATAAGTAATAAGAAAAAAGGCATAGTTGAAGTCAGAAGGCTGTTTTATTACTAGGTAGTTGAAATCAGGGCTTATTTTTATTGAAATAACGACTTCCTACGTATATTAGATAACTGAGAAAAGCTCTACTAGTTTCGCTGCTTATGAATAAGAGTCCCGTTGTGATTTGAAACTAGGAGCTTTTCTCGTTATTTTCAATATTCTTACAAAGCATGTCACTTCAAATTAGTCACTACTATTCACAATTTTTTTTTTTTGTATATCATTACAAGTTAATATGAAACAATGAAACAATGAATTTATTTTTGCAAATAGGCCATAAAACGGCAATTTTACACGTCAAAATATAATCCTTTTACCTACTATTGCCATAAATTATTTATTTTTTATTTTAAAATTAGGTAGTGATTTTTGTTGACAAGAGATGTCGCTAAAAATACATATATTCACGTGTTTGCTTTTTATTAGGTAGGTACCTATACAAAAACAATATCTATTAAATGGTTTTTTAGTTCCAAGAAATTAAATTATGTACAATTAATACGATTGTTATCTTAGAAATCTGTTTTGATTAACCTTTATTAATTGAAAGAGCGAATTTTAAAATGTTTCCCAGTACCTTACGATTGAGTTGTCACAAAAGATAAGATCGTGAGGTCAAAATTGTGATTTAAAACTCTTTAAAAGTTCGAATATTCGGAAAACATTGTTGAGATAAAATCGCAAGCAACAAGCAATCATAATTTTTATGTTAATAAAATGGTTATTAAGTATGTATGTCCTAATCCATATTCGGTAGATAATTATTAGCCTAACAAGCCTGTTTTACATAATTATGAATATGTTCTGTTTAACATTGATCGCTCACATAATATTATAGATTTTGGTTTATAATTAATGATGTACAAAATTATTCTAATTAGGATGAACAAGTGATTTTTAAGTGGCCTCTTATTTATGATATTGATACTTGTTTCAACTTCTTTCTGTCATGTTTTTTTTTTATCTATACATCTATGATTTAGGTTATGGTAGCTGTGTCAGTTGTGTTACATGTCTAAATGAAACCATTAGTATAGATGGCGTTTTAATAAAAAGTTGTTTCTGACGTAACCGTTACTTTTTTTGTTTGTTATTTATTGTTAGCTTGCTTCTGTAATAGAGATATACGTAGTTAAATAAAACAATACACTAAGGGGTGATTTTTCAGTAGTCACATAAATGTTATCTGTAGAATAAAATTGTTGCTGTCACTGTCTTATACAAACATTCTGACGCGACAGCATCATAATTATTCCCCAGGTAAGTTTTATCTAACCATTGTAAAATCAGCCCTACCTATATTAAAAGACTAACTGACGCTGATGGGCTTTTCTCTCGATGGTCGTTATTTCAAATTTTATAATGTGACAGATGTTTGACACATCGATACATGACACATTTGACACATCGATATATGTCATAGAGCATCAAATGCTTTTTTAGATAACTTTATTTTTGTTTTAAATTGCGCGGCTGATTTTCATGGTATATAAAATTATGATTAAATTAAATCTTTATGATACTTAAATATTCGTTACAAGCTAAAATATACAAAGTAAATACAAAATAATTAACATTCTGTGGTCCTATACAACTTAAAATATGTGGTTCATAAATACTGAAGCGAACTGCTTTCGGTATATACCTAAGAAATTATATAAATAGTATAAGGTATATCATAATATTAAATATATTTTAAAAAGTCTCACAATCATAGTTTAATCAAAGGATTAGCAAACTGAAGTGGCAGAGGGCTGTCGAAGAACCGATGACCGTTAGAGTAAACGTGTCCTAGAGTGGAGACCACGTCTAGGCAAACGTAGTGTAGGGCGCCCTCCAGCTAGGTGGACTGACGACATCCGCAGGGTGGCCGGCAGTGGTTGGATGAGAAGAGCTGAACATCGAGCTCAGTGGCGTCCAATAGGAGGGGCTTATGTCCAGCAGTATTAAAGTTGAAGTTATTGACACTGCCTTTTCGTTTCCGATTTCATAATAATAGAGTTATACTTTTTTTCGTGAGGGGAAAATCATCAAATGACATCTCTCGCCCAGGGTGAGGCGAGAGGGAGTGTCAGGCTTTTCATCATCATCATCATCAGCCTATAAGTGCCCACTGCTGAGCAAAGGCCTCTTCTCACACGGAGAAGGTTTGAGCATTAATCACCACGCTTGCTCAATGCGGGTAGGCGATTTCAAACTTACAATTAGAAATTATAAGTCCAGGTTTCCTCACGATGTTTACCTTCACCGTATGTCAGTGGTGTCTAAATAATCATAGAAAGTACATGTAACTCGGAAAAAGTCACATTGGTACTTGCCAGGTTTCGAACCCGCACCCTCATGCATGACAAGCGGGCGCCTTAACCTCCGGGCCACCACGATTTTTTGTGTCCTTGTCTTGTCTTGTTTTTCAGTCAGTAAGAGACTTGTCAGGCTCTTACTGACTGAAAACCCCCCGTTCCTTATCCTGCCCTTAGCCAAAGCAGCGGTGCCTTATAGAGCTTGTAACACTGAGATGACTTTTTAAAATATAGATATTTGATTTATACAGTTTAAATTATAATAATGTGAGCTTACATTAAACCTATTTGCAGATTTTAATTTTAAAGTTGTATGTAATGGGCAAGTTTGATTCGGCCTGTAGTTTTTAAAACATACAATTAAATATGTATTGTAATTATGTACTTATTTACATCGACCTACGTAGAGCTGCCTAACTGGTAGATTAGAATATAAAGCCTTAAAGGTATACTTAAATTGCTTGCTGATTTTTTCTGAAAAACGAATGTCAATTTTTTATCCAGAATTGTGGATTTACGAACGAATTTATTTATTAGAAAGTGCTTAATTTGCCAGGCTATTTACAACTTTTGCACACGAGTTAAGAGTTCAAGCTTCATTGGATTAATTTAATAACTTAATGTTTAAAGTCGGGACTGACAATGATAATGAAAAAATCCCTCGCTAAGTATACAGGGTGTAAAAAGACACTTAACGAAGTCGAAAGCCACGTATTCTACCCATTATTAGGATCATTTTTTACTTATCACAGCGTTTTAATGCTAAGCTGTGAACCTACGCACACAATGACACGAAGCCCGTTTGCTTAACATTGCGCGCAATAAAATTTTTTTTTTTTTTTGATACCTATAAATAATAGTCGTTTCCCAGTGATAATTTTAGCGTAAAGCTACTTAGTTAGAACTGCAGTATGCGTAGTTAACGGCTTCGTTAAGTGTCTTTTTACACCCTGTATAGTAAGTGTAAACTGTGTAATACCTGTATAAAACTTAAACTTTTTGTAAGGGCTATGGATCTGAATCAAATGTTTTTCTTTAATTTATTTTTTATTATTATAAGTTGTGAATTATTTAGGTAATGAGTTTTTGTATTTATTCGCAGTAATTATCGAGAATACCAATCCTGATAATACCTATGTGCAAACTCTTCAAAAGTCATATCTTCTTCCGGAGAATTGGATTGAGCTGTCAATGTTAATAACTAATCTTTAACCAACATCCCTGAATCGATTTCAATTTATAATCGATACCTACTCAATACGATTAAAGGCGAAAATCGATCATAACCTACAGATTTTAGATTGAGGTCAGATAGGTACCTAATTGAAATCTTAAGTAATTAAAATACAAGGAATCATCGAATTAATTGTTTCAAAATAATCGCTTGTTCTCATTTTATCTCGTGGCATTACTGGTAATCGAAGGGTCACGTATGATGGTACTGGAGATGCGCTAAAGGATGCTCGTAGAGTGGGTAGAGTGGTTGCGGCGCGTGCGCAGGTAGCGCGTGCGGTGCTGGCCCGTGCGCCGGCGCATCGCTGTCGTCGTCGGTTGAAGAGTCTAGCTGCTTGTCACCTGCACCTCCGCTGTAATAAAACAGAAAAGTTTTTGTTATGAATTGGAATTAATGAAAAACAGGTATGTTACTTTTTGTTTCAGTTTCTTTGATATAGGTAGTGCAATTTTGGAATACGACCTTCTGTAATCGGAATTTGGGATGAAATCAGCTGCATTTCCTAAGTTAAAATAATTAATGAGAAAAGCAGCCTTTAACAATCACATCAGCCTATAAGTGCCCACTGACTTCTCACAAGGACAAGGTTTGAGCATTAATCTCCACGCTTGCTGAAGGGTTGGCGATTTCAAACTTATAATTAGAAATTATAAGTCCAGGTTTCCTCACGATGTTTAATTATACTTAGAAAGTACACATGGTACTTGCCAGGTCACCACGACGACAATCATAACAATTCTATCATCATTAATACATCTAAGAATCAAATAATTCTAGAATCACTGAAACAGCAAAAACCTTACATCGATTCGATCCCAAACACATCAAAAACAACGCCCACCCAATATCAAGTACAAAAAAACGGACACAAAGCCACAGTTCAGAACTTATTATTACCCATCGCAAGCGATGAGGGGTAAGCACATCGGGACATATCAGTGATGACAGCCAGCCCTCCGCTAGTAACACGATACCTCAGGGTATTCTGTGCATCGCTCATAGACAAACGAACAGTGATGTGCTAACGTTTTTATACGATTTCTATTTTGTCTTTGGTAGTTGTTTGGCTATGGTAATTTTTATTGCGTTCGTTTTTTAAGTAATAAAATTCATTTGTATGGGGAATATTACAAAGAAAATGTAATAGGTACCTACACGCATATTTTAACTTAATTTTGAAATAAGTTTTTTTTTTGTTAAACAGATCTTGTCCATTAGGTACTTGTTTCAAGTTCGATCTGTAGTTACATACTATCTTTATTACGGGATTTTCATTATAAGGTATATGACATTGAACGCCATATCTGACAATCTGAAGTAAGGATCAGGCTTCAACAGTTTTTGTCTGCCTATAGCCGCGCAACATGTTTCGGATTCGATTCCCGCACGAAACAACTCTATGTGAGATCCAAAAAATTTTGTTTCTGTTCGGGGTGTGTCGAATACGGTAGTTTCCAACTAGTCAAATTCAATACTTTTATCCAAATGTCAAAAACGATACTTTTCTATGAAATTTGTATAAAAAACTGAGGTATGACGTCATAACATTTTTGCGTCAAATAGCTTACTTATTTCTGAATAATGAGCTAGAAAAATCTAAAACTTAGTGTATCGATTGATGGATAAATAAAAGTATAGTTATTTTTCAATATTTTATTGTATTAAAACGTCGAATTAATTTATTTTAGACCTAGGACACTACCCAATTGTAAATGTGTAGATATATGAATATGTATATTATACATAATTTATAATCTACCACCTAAGAAACACATTGTGGAATGCAATATAATTGATTGAGTATTGAGATTTGGATACCTTAAGCACAATAAATAAGTCACACACAACAGTCAAATTTATCCTTCAAATAAAAAATTACCATATTAAAAGGTTTTTAAAACATTGACCGATATAAATAGAAATTGTAATCAAACGACCTCAAGTCTAGACCAGATTTAAAGCTAGGCTAGACCAACCTTATCGTTTATTAAACCTCAATAAAGATTAAAAAGCAAAAAAAAACAAAGATAATATACTTATCTAAACAAATCCGCATCTAAATTAAAATCTATACGAATATCATAAAGCTGTATATTTTGTTTGTTTGTTGGTTTGGACGCGCTTACCTCCGGAACTACCTACTGGTTCGAATGGAATAATTCTTTTTTTGTTCAATAGTCCATTTATCGAAGAAGGCTATAGGCTATAAAACATTCCAATCCTTCCCCTTCCCTAATCCCTCCCCAGTTCCTAAATCTCCAAAACACTAATTCCTAAAAGGTCGGCAACGCACTCCTAACTCCTCCGTTACGGGTGTCCATGGGCGGCGCTGATTGCTTACCATCAGGTAATGCTATAGCTCGTTTGCCGACCTATTACATAAAAAAACATTACGCTATGATCTAAAGCAGCCGAGCAGCGTATGAAACTGCGCTAGAGCAGACAGTACAGTAGTACACTATGTACATAATATAAAATAAAGTCGCTTTCTCTGTCTCTTTATCCCTATGTATGGTTAAATCTTTAAAACTACTAACATAGAGTAATTAAAGAGGAAGGTTTATATGTATAATAACATCCAATAAAATTTCAAGAAGTTTTGTATCAGCATTACACCTGTGCGAAACCGGGGCGGGTCGCTAGCCAAATATAAAGAACAAAATGAATTCAGATTACCGATATACTGATGTTGAAGATAGTGCTAATTAAACTAATACATATATTACGATAAGTCATTGGGGGCATGGTTCTTGTGACCTTTCAGCACGAATGGCTTGGCTCGACACCAAGGTCTCACAGGATACCGGCGTGAAACAACCGCAGCGTTGTGTTTCAAAGTTATCAGAGGCCCAATCGTTCCTCGCCCCCATCCTTCCCTAACCTTAAATATACAAAACCCTAATCACAAATTGAGTAAAGAACGCTAAAATCCATAAGCCCCCAAAAGGCCCGCAACCAAATTGAACCTAACTTGGTGTTGAAGGTTTTCTTGAGCGGCGTCGATTGCTCAAGAAAACCTGGGTGGTTACTGGCTGCCGCGCAACGGGTCGCGTGTTAGGGTCTGGGTGTGACTTGTGTGTCAAATATTATGTTTCAAAACCTACAATACTGGAGAAATCATAGTGCTGCGCTGCGCTTATTAAAAATTTCACCCGCTGCTCGGTTTTATTTAATCCTTGCGTGATGTTTTATAGCCTATAGCACTCAGGAACATTGCAGCTATCTATCAGTGAAAGAATTTTGGCAAATCGACCAGCGGTTCCAAAGTTTACACCCTACATACAAACTTACTAATTTTACCTCTTTATAATATTAGTAAAAGTATAAAAAACTAATAATACCTTACATAGGTAACGTAGAAAATGGAACTTGAAAAACCTTACTCGGCAATCGCACCCACAATCAAATTGATTGACAACGAATTCTATCTACGAGTAGGTACTACACAGATGTGACAAAGTACAAACCGGGAATAGAACACGGAACTGATTGCTTGGCAGCCAAACAGTTGCCATTTGTCTTCTAAAGGTCGGTTAAGTCCTAATAATGGTGTTAATAAAAATAAATTTTATAATCTCTCCAAGTTGCTATTGGATTTCAGTTGTAAAATTTTATTGTAGCGTTTGCCTACCGATTTAAACTAATCCTTTGTGTAATCTTACACTTTATATTGTAAATCTAGTTTATTTAGTAGCTTTATAATATAATTTTAGATTTCGTTTGTATTCTGCGTACAAACTTGTGTAAATAGATGGTTATTTTTCTTTATTTTCAAGCGTTCCTTTTTTTTATTCTTTTTTTTATGGGACTTTTGAACACAGTTCACGTCAGTCCCATCATAAATTAATCTTAATTTAACAAACAAAATAAACAAAGTAAACAAAAACAGTGCTTTAAATATTAACTAATGAGTACATACCTACCTATATCATTTTTGCCTCACGGGATAGTCAAAAAATAATAATATACGCCTACGTCTAACCTATTTATATTTAGTTCTCTAATAATTCTGTTTCTCTCAGATTCGTTTCTGATGCACTCCACCAAAAGATGCTGAACATTCTCACTTTTGTCGCAGACCTCACAGTTGGGAGAGCCATGCTTCGGCACGAATGGGTCGGCTCGACCGGAGTGATACCACAGCCTCACAGAAAACCGGCGTGACACAATCACAGCGTTGTGTTTCGCCGTGTGAGTGAGGTTACCGGAGGCCCAATCCTTCCCCTTCCCGGAGCCTTCCCCAATCCCTAATCCCTAAAAGGTCGGCAACGCACTCGTAACTCCTCCGTTGTGGGTGTCCATGGGCGGTGCTGATTGCTTACCATCAGGTAATGCGTATGCTCGTTTGCCGACTTACTACATTAAAAAAAAAAAAACTAACTTTTTGGATAAGATACGCAAAAGCTCTCAGTGGCATGTGCAAGCGTTGCTTTAGACTAGGATTTTCTCCTATGTTGTAGGTGCGTTTGAAAGGACATAATTTTACACGCAAATCGCGCTTTGACTTAGAAAATATTTAAATCACACAACGATTGGTCTACTACCAGGGTAAAAACTAGCCTATGGGTTCCAGATTATCCAGACTATAAAATAATCTATCTCTGTGCCAAACATCATTCATTTCCTTTCTGTGTTTAACATTTAAGTGTTATACAAACTTTCGCGTTTATGAAATTGGTACGACAATAAATCCGAAAAGTAAATGCAAACGAGCCGACCTTATGGTAAGCAATTGCCGTCGCCCATGGACACCCGCGTCACCAGAGTTGTAACGACTGCGGTGCCAGCCTTTTAGGCATTAGATTTTCGGATATTTAGTGATTGGAAAGGAATGAAATAGGAAAAGGATTGCGCCTCCGACAATCTCACTTCCCAAGAAACACGCAGTGGTTATTTCACGCCCGTTTTCTGTGAAGCCGTGGTATCACTTCTAAATTAAACATAGCTTTCCCACAATCTAGTCATTTATGGCATTGATAAAAAATATTAAATATCAACGATCGGACATCATTCTATAATAAAATAGTCATGATTATTTAGAGAGAGATTATACTTGTCTATATTAAACTTTGATGACACCATTATTTCGTATTTTATGTGTTATTTTTAGATAAAATAGTTTTTAGATATGTATCAATAGTTCCTAATAGATTAATAACGGATAAATTATTGTTATCAGTTAAGAGATGCTATTAAATTAATATGAAGATAAAAACTTATTTGAAAGTGAAGTCAGAAAAGTTAAGTATGTTATTATTGCGTAACTTATCTCTGACATTTATTAGAAGTACCTAACTACCTAAATAAAAACGTAATAGTGAAAAAAAAATTACAACAAAAATCAATATGTCA